GGAGCCCCCCTCTCCGGCATCCTCTCTGCCCTGACTGCGGCCCAGCCTGGCAGACTCTCTTTATTTATTGTAATCTGTTTCCTATTTCCAGCATTTTGTATCTTTTTGTATTGCTGAGCATCCGCAGCATGATAAGTCCCGGGTGCCCCGCCCGCCCCCTCCCTGGCCCTCCTTTTGAGCAGGGACCAGATCCAAGTGCCAACTTTTTGAAGTAATGCCTTAATAAACCACACCGTGTTTGTAAGGACTCGTCTTCTTGGCGGGGGGGGGGGGACTGAGGGGATGAGACGGGGCCCCGCACCCCCAAGGCAACCGCTTAGGGGTGGCGGGAGGCAGCTTAATGGCCAGAAAACCCTCGGAAGAGCTTTCGGGTCCAGGATCAGGCCAAGGGCTCATCTCGTCCGCCCCCAAGAGGAGCCGGCAAGCAGGATCCGAGCCAAGAGCCTTCGCCCCTCCTGTGCTTCCAGCCACGGGCCGGCAGAAGCGGGGCTGCCTCCATCTGCAGAGTCAAACACAGTCGTGGCGGCTCGGAGCCCCCGATCGCCCCCGACGGGGCTCCCGTGGCGAGAGCAGCCGCTCTTCCTCCTGGACGGCTGTTCCCTCCAGCACCCCTCTCTCCCCCCAAGTGCAGTTTGCTGCCCCACTCGACGCCCAGACCTGCGGCGGCGGCGGCGAGGAAAGCCCCGGCCGGCGCCGCGGGCGAAGGGGGTCGGCGTCGGCGCTGCTTCCGGAGGCCCTGACAGGAGGGGGGCTTTCCCGACCCGCGCCACCCCCGGTCGCCGCGCCTGGTCCCGGCTCCCGCCCCGTCGCGCGCTCAGCTTTGGGGGCTTCATCCGCTTAGCCTAAGCCCCGAAGCAGATGCGCCTAATCAGGCGGCTCAGCTCCCCGCGGCGGCCAATTGGCAGCATTAGCCAGAGCGGCCCGCAGACGTGAACTCCGGGTGAACCTGGACGCTTGAGCTGCGAGTCTTGCCTGACGGGGTGGACTAGATGACCTGGGGAATCCCTTCCCACTCGGCAGCTCCGCGCCCCTCTGGAGCCCCCCAACCCAGCCGAGCCCTCCAGGAGGTGAGGGGGAGGGAGCCCCGCGGGGCAGGGGCTTGGGGCGGAGGCTCCCCTCAGCGCTTGCCCCGGGCACGAGCCTTGGTCGGCAGTTTGGGGGCGAGCGGCTGCAGGACACCGGAGAGAGCGGAGGAACCGGGCTGCTCCCACTAAACACTCAGAAAAACTTTCCGACAGTCAGAGCTGTTCAGCAGTGGAAGAGATTCCCGCGAGGGGAAGGCTGAAGTTCTTAAAGAGAGGCTGGATGGCCGCCTGAGGTCCAGCCCCACTGTTACTGCAAGTGCTCCATGGGGCCCAGACCTGTGGGCTGCAGCCTGGAGGTGTGTGAGCATGTTTATCCAGAGCACCGTGGAAGCTGCTGTTGATCTCTCTTGCCAAAAAAGAGTTAACTAGCAGGTGTGTGTCATCTTTATCTGCATCTCTCTAATGCCTTACATTTGCTAAAACCCAAGTCTGCCCACGGGCTGAAGACATTTGGGCAAACGCCCTTCTGATCCCTGCGCTGTCGGGAGGCCTCCTCGCCCTTCCTCTTGCCCCTGCTCTCACTTGTGTAGGCAAAAGACCAGTCAAACAAGAACAGGAGAGCCTCCTGGGTCAGGCGAGGGGCTGATTTCAAGTCAACTGGCCTAGTTTGCTACGGTTCTTCTTTGTTGTGTAAGTTGAGACAATGGGTTGCCTCGGAAGCAAACAGCTAGGGGTAGGGAAAAGGGACCACATCTTTTGTCTTTCCTTCTCAGTATCCACTGGGAAATGATGTCATCAAGCTGCTTGCAAAGAAGCCGTAGCATTTAGACTGAGTTGAGAAGGGGACACATGGAAGGCTGCATTGCTCTCTGCAAGAATCCTCACCCTGGAAGCTCCGCAGGGAAGCAGCATCTCCCGGGCCCTTCCACTTATGCTCAGCCTGTGTGTTGGGCCCTGGGCCTCTGGGGGGCCACAGCCTCCCCGTCTCCAAATGGAGAAGGAAGAGCCTTGCTTCTGTGCTCACGTCCTGCCTCCAGGCTTCCCCTGGTGTGAGAAGAGGGTGCTTGACGGGACAGGCTGTTCCTCTGATCCTGCAGCCAGGCTCCTTTTGTGTTTCATCAACTCAAAAGCCTTCAAGGACTTCCTTCGGAAGGAAGCAGCCGGGATGCATGATGTGTCCTTGCAGGAGTTGTTCTTATTTCACCACCAGGTCACAGCTTGCGACAATTTAATAAGCAACCTTAAAAGCACTTCAAAACAAATTAGTCACAGGAAGAAGGTGGGTCCTGGTGACACGCACCTCGGGCGTCAGAGGCCGGGGGAAGGTGTGCCTCTTTCGCGTGTGACGGAAACCCCAAACCATGCAGGTGCACCGGGGGGGGGGGGCAGCCCCTGCTTCTCAGTGCTCAGAGAGCTGCAATGTGTCTAGCAGTAGCCTGTGACCAAGCAGGGTGTTCTGAGGTGTGGGGTGCAGGCGAGTCCTGCTTTTGGCCGGATCAGCTTGCTGGCCCTTGCAGCCCAGGGCTGTCTGACTGGCAGAAGATCTCTGGCATCTTGAGCAGAGATCAGTCCCTTTCCTGGCCCTCCAGCTTGAATGCAAGGAGCCCAGGCATTACAGGGAAAGGGAAAGGAGCCCTGGACGGTGGTGGTTGTTGTCGTCTAGTCGTTTAGTCCTGTCTGCCTCTTCGTGACCCCCTGGATCAGAGCATGTCAGGCACTCCTGTCTTACACTGCCTCCCGTAGTTTGGTCAAACTCATGCTGGTAGCTTCAAGAACACTGTCCAACCATCTTGTCCTCTGTCGCCCCCTTCTCCTTGTGCCCTCCATCTTTCCCAGCATCAGGGTCTTTTCCAGGGAGTCTTCTCTTCTCATGAGGTGGCCAAAGTCTTGGAGCCTCAGCTTCACGATCTGTCCTTCCAGTGAGCGCTCAGGGCTGATTTCCTTCAGAATGGAGAGGTTTGATCTTCTTGCAGTCCATGGGACTCTCAAGAGTCTCCTCCAGCACCAGAATTCAAAAGCATCAATTCTTCGGCGATCAGCCTTCTTTATGGTCCAGCTTTCACTTCCATACATCACTACTGGGAAAACCAGAGCTCTATCTATACAGACCTTTGTTTAAGTCCAGTCAAATTCAACTAAGGGGTATGGCGCTTTCCGGGTCATGTGGCCAGCATGACTAAACCACTACTGGAGCATGGAGGACCATGACGAGTGCCAGAGCACCATTTACCTTCCCGCTGCAGCAGTTCCTATGTATCTCCTCTCACTGGTATGCTTTTGAACTGCTAGGTTGGCAGAAGCTGGGACAGAGCAACAGGAACGCACTCTGTTGCGCGGATTTGAACCGCCAACCTTCTGATCAGTAAGCCCAAGAGGCTCAGTAGTTTAGACCACAGGGCCACCCGTGTCCCACAATCAGGGAAGCGGACTTATAAAAAATATTGGGGGGGCCCGGGAAAGCTCATGAATAATAAATAAGCTCATGAATATGCAAATAAAGTGGCTCCGGCCCTAAATAGGGCAAGCCACGCCCCCCAGCCAGCCAATCGGCTGGCTGGGAGGTGTGGCCAGTCGGGATTCCCCTGTTCTCGCGGGGGCCAGGAGGAAGGAAATTCCCCCCGGCAGTGCCTTGGCAGTGGCGGTGGTGCTGCGAAGCAGCGAGGCAGGAGCCCCCGCCCCCGGGGATTCCCTAATCTCGCGGGGGACGGCCGGGGCTCTCCGACTAGGGCGCGCGGCTGGCTGGCTGGCTGGCGAGGGAGCAGGTGGGGAGGAGGCGGGGGATGGCGGCGGCGCTCTGCTGGAAGGGCGCCCGAGATTATTGGGGGGGCTGAGCCCCCCCAAAAATTTTTTGAGGGGGCTCGAGCCCCCTCAGGCCCCATGGAGTCGGCGCCTATGCCCACAATGCTACGTTCTAACACGACTTCTAAGTCCAGTGTTGGGATGCCCCTGAACACCACTTGCTGGGAAGAGCACAGGTCCCCCTTGCAGGCTCCCCAGAGACGTCTGGCCGGCCACGGAGAGAAGAGGGAGCTGCACCAGACGGGCCTTTGGTCTTGCTCAGCTGCCGGGCTCCTCCTGTGCAGGTCCCTCCCACCAACCCAACTTGAGAGATTGGTGTGAAGCAGGAGGCTCCTTTGAGGCTGTGGTTCTAACCTGGATCTGGGCTCCAGCCTTGAAACGGATGCCAGTGCCAACCACTACCAGTCCCCCTTCCACAAAACACTCGATTTCCCCCAGGGACCTGTGTTTACTCCGCAGGAGGCGATGCTTCTTACTAGATAGCTTTGGAAGGGAGAGCAGCAGACCACTCTCTGCCGGGCCTGCAGACGAGGCGAGGGCTCCTCTGTCTTTCCCCAGAGATGGGGTGGGGATGCGAACGATGGGCAGGTGCCCCTGGCAGCCCTGTGACAGCTCCTGCAGGGGACCATTTCATCTCACCCCCTTCTGATCCCCACCCACTTCCAATGCGTGCTAAAATGCTTGTCCTTCCTTAAAAGCAAAGTTAGTCACGCAACAGCCCTCGAACCGCAGCTGGGCATCTCGCGGGCCTTCGGTGTGGCCCTGGCGGGTGCCCACATGAGCCCCTGCCCACGTGTGGTGCAGTTGTGGCGGGGAAGGTGGTGACATCAGGATCCCGAGGGCGAGCGTCGCCGCTTCCAGCGCAGCCCCCGGACAGGAAAGGCGCCCCAGCTCTCACCCGGCCATCAAAAGGGCTGCTGGATTTATTCCTTTCCCGACTGGCAGATTTCCTGGAAAGCCCCCCCGAACATTTCGCGCTTCCCTTTCTTTTTCATGAGCCTGTCCTCGCGTCCCACCGGGCGAGGCTTGGGGGAGCATCCATCGGGGGTCCGCAGGCGCCCCTCTCGCCCGCCCCGGCGTCGGTTCCGGCGGCCAGAGTGCAGCCTCTGAGCACGCACAGAGTGCAGCCAGCTCAAAGCAGCCCAGCGGGCGAGCCACGTGATCTGGATGTCTCTCCCCCCCCCCGCAATCATGTGACGGGCAGCTTCTCACGTGACTCAGTTCTGGGCTCCTGCCTCGAGAGACAGGCTGCGCTGCGATGGGGCTGCTGGACTGCCGGTACCGGGGCGCGGGGGGCGGGGGGAAGGGGGGAAGGGGGGAAGGGGGAAGCCCCCCCGGCAGACGCTTCCCGCTCCGCGGCCTGACACCCCCTCCCGTTTCTCCCGCGCAGGTGCCTCCTGCTGGCGCTGCTCCAGCTGCCCGCCTTGCTCCGCTTGGACGCCGCCGCCGCCGCCGCCGCCTTCGGGTGGGCTCCGGAGCCGGACCAGCTTTTCCAGTAAGCGGCCGCAGCGGGGCCCCGGCCGGGCCTGGGGCGGAGGGCGCCGTCGGGGCAGCAGGACGAGCGCGGCGAGCGACGGGCGCTTGGGCCCCTCGGGGCTTGCTCGCCGCCCGGCTCCCGCGAAGGAGGCGGAGGTGGGCAGCCGCGGACCCCAAGCGCCCGTCGGCCCGGAGGAGGAGGTTGGGGGCAGCTGGCAGGAAGGACCCGCCCCCAGATGGGGGGGCTATCAATACTAATGTTATGATTATTGGGAGGTGGGTCTGGTTGGTGTAGTGGTTCAGAGTGGTGGACTCCTAATCTGGTTCGCGTCTCCGCTCCTCCACCTGCAGCTGCTGGGTGACCTGGGCCAGTCACACTCACCTCACAGAGTGTTTGTTGTGGGGAGGAAGGGAGAGGAGAATGTGAGCCGCTTGGAGACTCCTGAAGGGGAGTGATAAAGAGGGATATCAAATCCAAACTCTTCTTCTTCCTTTGGCCTTGCCAGCGGAGCTTGCTGGATCCCCATCCATCTGTTTAAGGAGCCTCCTTTTCTGTGAAATGGGTGCAGGGTGTTAATTCCCGGTTCCTCTGGGGGAAAAGCTGGATTTGGCTGGCGCTGCCAGACTGGGCACTGCTCTTGCCTCAGCTGCCCACACTCTCTGCCAGCTTGGTGCCACCTGTGACAGCCGTGTCTCTTTCCCAGGATCCCGGAGGGATGGAGCTGTCTGGGTCGAGTGGCTGCCTCGGAGGCACTGAGCCTGACCTTCGCCCTCCGGCAGCAGAATGTGGGGCGCCTGGAGGAGCTGGTGCAGCGAGTCTCCTCTCCAGACTCTCCAGAGTATGGTAATGCCCCCCCTTCTCTCTCTGCCCCCCACTTCTGCCCCTCCTGCTGGGGCTTCCCTGATCTCTCAGCACAGCCAGGAGAGACGGCCCCCTTGTGGCTCAGGGGCACGTTTCACGTGTCCTTGGCGGACTGCACAGGCTTCTCCTTACAACACTGTTCTTTTTTTAAAAAATTTTTTAAAAAATAATTTTTATTAATTTTCCAACACATAATAAAGACAATACATTACACAATACACAAACAAACAAACAAACAAACACATAAACACGTATAATTTCAAAACCTTCTTTTCATAACTCTTGCTTCTCCGACTTCCCCATACCTCCCCTTTCTGCATCTCTGTTTCAACATTTCTTCAGCAAGTCCTCACTTAATTTAACTGATTACTCATTTTTTATCTCCTTCTCTCTTACATAAAAGTCGTTTACAGCTGTAATCCTCTTTTTCCTGTACCCTTGACATTTTAGCACTCGTTAATTTTACAACAATTCTTAAGATACATTTTAAAGTTCTTCCAATCATTCTCCACCGTCTCTTTTCCTTGGTCACGGATTCTGCCTGTCATCTCGGCCAGTCCCATGTAGTCAATCACCTTCGTCTGCCATTCTTCCAACGTGGGTAGTTCTTGTGTCTTCCAATACTTTGCTATAAGAACCCTTGCTGCTGTAGTAGCATACATAAAAAACGTCCTATCTCTTTTTGACATCAATTGGCCAACCATGCCCAGGAGAAAGGCCTCTGGTTTCTCCTTACAACACTGTTCTAAGGTAGGCACATACTGTTCCTGGGCTCCCTTGCAGCCGAGGCTGGCAGCCCTCGGAATGTCTCCCAGGCAGTGAGTCCTACCGAGCGCAGCGGGACATGGTCCTGTGTGCAAGGATTGCAGCCGCAAGGACTTCCTGCTCAGCTTCTCTTGCACAATCTTTGGCGCTCTGGTGGCTCCCTGGGAGGAGCAGCTCGTAGGGTTTGTGGGAGGAAGGCAGGCAGGCAGGCAGGCAGGTTTCCTCTCCTAACTCCAAGGACGTCTTTACACCACAGGACCATCTTGGTGGTTTTCCTGTGTCCTGAGGGAACTCTTTCTCCTGAGAGGGGGCAGTTGGCTAGCCTAGGAGTCCCTAGCAGAGCTCTCAGCCCCATTCCTAGGCTGCTGCTGCTGCTGCTGCTCCCAGGGCTCTCAGGGGAAGCCTGTCAGTCAAGGGGGACCAGAAGTGGCATCTTCAACAGGAAGTGGGCAGACCGATCAGCCGCCGGCAACCAGCGATGGAAGACTGTGCCCCTGCTTGGCTGCCCAGCTCCCCTGGCAGTCGGGGGGTGGAGGGAGACCCCTGGGACCCTCTGAGGTAGGTGGGCCACCAGAAGTCTCCTTCCCTCCCTCCACGCTCCCCTTTGTCTCGCAGGCCGGTTCCTGTCTCTGGCGGAGGTGCAGGCCCTGGTCGCCCCCTCCCCGCAGACGCTGAATGCCGTTCGCAAGTGGCTGGAGGCTCACGGGATCTGGGACTGCACAGACGTGGGCACCAAGGACTTCTTGCAGTGCCAGGTGCCAGCCGGGTGAGTTGGGACGCGGGGGCTCTTGGGGCAAGGGGACGGCACAGAAGGCACCCTGAGCTCCCCCCACAGCTGACCCTGACCCGAGGCTTCTCCATGCAGCACGGCAGAGCAGCTCCTCCCGGGGGCCCAGTTCCAGCGCTACGTCAATGGGGAGCGAAGCGTCGTGAGGTCTCCCTTTGCCTACACCTTAGCAGAGGAGCTGGCGGAGCACCTGGATTTTGGTACGGAAGCCTTGGGGAAACGGAAGCAGGGGACGCTCTGTCCCTCGTGTGCATGAGCCCAGACTGCTAGGGGAGAGTGTCTAGCCCTGGAAATAGGCAAATATCTTCCCCACCATAGGAGTGGGAGAGCTGACCTTCTCTTTACCCTGCCAAGAAGTGGGTGGTGATGAAGGGAGGGCGGGCATGACTGAGCAGATCTCTCCCCCGTCCCTGGTTAGCCTTGGGCTGAGCAAAGTCTGCTTTAGGTGCCCCCTTCCTTCTGCCCCAGGATAACTGCACCCTCTGCTTATTCTCCTCCTCCTCCCAATTCTCAGTGGGGGGTCTTCACCGCTTCCCTGCCGAGAGGAAGGCAGTGAGTAGGGCCTGGACTGCCGGGAAAGCGCTGCTCTCCACCTTTCACCTGGGGGTGACGCCGGCTGTGATCCGCCAGAGGTACAACCTGACTGACAAGGACGTGGGCAGCTCCCTGCAACAACAGCCAGGCCTGTGCCCAGGTAACTGGGGGGGCGTCCCCCCCCCCGACAGCCTCTCCGTTCCCCTCAGTGTCCTGGGGCCAGCTGCTCTCAGCCCAGCCGTCCTCAGGGGTGCCCCTGGCAAGGAGGTGTGCTGGGTCTGGGTGCCCCACGCCTGCCTCTTCTCCTTTCCCCTCCAGTTCCTGGAGCAGTACTTCCACCAAGCGGACCTGGCAGAGTTCATGGGTCTCTTTGGGAAGAGCTTCCCGCACCATCTGCGCGTGGACCAGGTGGTCGGGCACCAGGGCTGGGGCAAGGCCGGCCTGGAAGCCAGCCTGGACGTGGAGTACATCATGAGCTCCGGGGCCAACATCTCCACCTGGGTCTTCAGCAACGGTGGTACTGACCAGCACACTTGGCTCCCTGTCTTCCTACCCCCCCCCCAGGGAAGGGCTCCAACCTCTCTCTTGCCTCTCCCAGGGGACCTGGGAAGTGGGGTGGGGCAGGAACCCCCTGTGATGTGGCTGCCGGGCTGCTTTCTCTGCGCCACCCTCATCCTGGGACCAGTCGGGGCTGAGTGCTATACTGGAAGATGCTGGGAGGCTGGCGGGCTCTGCGCCCTCTCCCTGCCACCCGTTCCAGGATGAGGCAGACGTTTTGGAGGCAGGAGGGGGTCTCTGGGGCTGGCTTGCCCCCCACCTCTCCCTGTCGGCTCCCCGTGGGCTCTGCTGATATTCCTTCTCCCCTCGCCTCCCCAGGGAGGCATGAGAGCCAGGAGCCTTTCCTGCAGTGGCTGCTTGTGCTCAGCAACATGTCTGCCCTGCCCTGGGTGCACACGGTCAGCTACGGGGACGACGAGGACAGCCTGTCCCGGGCGTACATGGAGCGGGTCAACGTGGAGTTCATGAAGGCAGCCGCGCGAGGCATGAGCATCCTCTTTGCCTCAGGTAGGTGGAGGCAGGCGGCCTGAACCCTTAGGTTCCCCTCCCTCGAAACACAAAACTGTCTCTGATGGCACTTTGGCCTCCATGTTCCTCCTGCTCTGCCACTGTGCCGTCAAGGGAAGCCTGTGAGGGGCAGGGCCTTCTTGGTTGTGGCACCTGCCTTTGAAATTCACTCCAAGGAGGGAGATGCATCTGGCTATCACTTTGTTGGCTGGGTGAACATCTCCTCCTGTCAGAAGATCTTCTCAGTGGTGGGTCTGCCTGCCTTGTATCGTGGGAGGAAGGCAGGGGCAAGATTTATGTTGACTTGGGACATTTTATTGTCCTCCTTGGCAAGCTGGTGGTGTTAGGCTGTGATTTATATTGTGTGTTAAAGCGCTTTCAGGGTTTCTTATTTTAATACATAGTATTGCTTAAACATCCCTTAATGTTGTGTTGTAGGCTGCTTTGGTACATTTGCTATAACATGTATTAATCTGCAGTATTTTTACCTCACTGGTTAATTTCAAAAACAATTGCAAGGCAGTTTTCCAAACGTATAATTAAAAACATCAAACATAGAATCAATGGTACAGAATAAAACAGTAATGGCAATAAAATAGTGTAGCAGCAACATTTCAAAAAGGCAATAAAATTCAGGTTGCTGCCGATAAAGCAGGTTGCCCAGGCGGCTAAAGCAGTTTCCATGGTGTGCCTGAAAGGATAGAGCCGGGGGGGGGGGGGAGAGGTCAGCATGTTTGGGGAGGGAGGGAAAGTGGCTTGCAAGTGCCGCCCCCAACTGGCCAGGTCTTTGGCTGCCCTTTCCCTGCAGGTGACTCTGGAGCAGGTTGTCGGTCAGTCCACGGAGGGAAGCACACCTTCCGGCCCAGCTTCCCAGCCTCCAGGTGAGAGGAGAGGAAGGCGCCGCGAGGGGCAGGTGGGGCTGGCGAAGGTGGGGCTTGACCCAGATCCACTCACAGAGGCCTGGCCCTTCCGCATCCCCCCCCCCCTGAGCATTATGCAGACATGCGCTTGTCTTTCCAAGCCCTTCTCTGAAACCAGGGCAGTGAGCCACTTGCGTCTTTTCCAAAATGCAGGGATTCTGTAGCAGATACTAGGTCTCAAATCTGCAGCCTTACTGGGTTAGGCCTGTGGCTTGGCAGGGGAGCCCTCCTTCTGCCAGCTGCCCTTTGACGGAAGCAGAATCTTCTTGGGGAGGGGGGCTGCGTTCTGCCACCCTCAACCTCGCTGGGAGCTGCTGGAGGGCTGCCTGTCTTGGCAGACATCCTGGGAGGCTGGAACCCGTTGGTCTGCCGGTGCCTTTGTGACGCCTTGCCTTGCTGTGCCCACAGCCCATACGTGACCACAGTGGGGGGGACGTCGTTCCAGCACCCCTTCCTGGTCAGTGCCGAGGTCACGGACTCCATCAGCGGGGGAGGCTTCAGCAATGTCTTCCCGATGCCAAAGTACCAGGTGAGTCCCATGCCACTCGCAAGCTGCCATCGGGGCTCCCTGCTGGCTCTGGCAGAGTCATGTAACTGTTGACCCATCATGGCAGATTTCAGTCTGCAGCTCCTGGGCCCTTTGGGGTTTCCCATGATCCACTATGGAACTCCTTGCCACAAGCCTTCTTTAAAATTGTGAACATTTGCATAAATGGCTTTTACTGTGGTGAAGAGGTGAATTTTGAAGCGCAGGAGCTCACCCTGAAGGGCTGCCAAGCCCCCCCCCCCCGAGAGTCCAGAAATGAAAGATCCTCCCAGGCGGGTGGGACTTGGGATCCCTCGCCCAGGACCCGTCTCAGTGCTGCCTCCTTCCTCTTCTCGTCTCTCCCTCAACAGACAACAGCTGTGAAGCGGTTCCTGAGCACGACCTCCAAGCTGCCACCGTCCAGCTACTACAACAAGACGGGCAGAGCCTACCCAGACCTGGCCGCTCTCTCCGACAACTACTGGGTGGTCTCCAACCGCATCCCCATGCCCTGGGTCTCCGGCACCTCGGTGAGGCTGCCCGCCTGGTGCCCGCTCCTGGGCAGGGCCGTCTGGGGTGCTGGGCCTCACTCTGCCTCTTCTCCCCCGACAGGCCTCGACTCCTGTGGTGGGGGGCATCATAGCTCTGATCAACGACCGGCGCCTCCAGCGAGGGCAGTCCCCCCTGGGCTTCCTCAACCCCGCCCTCTACCGGCTCCAGGAGAAGGGGAACAGCACTGCCCTCTATGACGTGAGTGTGGGAAGGGGCTGGGGCCGCATCCTGCTGAAGCAGTTTGGTCCTTGGCTTTGCCAGCGGTGTGTGTGCACACAACACAGCAGCATTGCCACATGGGGCAAAGGGTCTTTTTCTGGGGCTGCTCTGCCTGACGACACGCTCTTCCCCTCTCCTCCTCTCAGGTGACCACGGGCTGCCACTACTCGTGTCTAGATGAAACTGTGCAGGGCCAAGGATTCTGCGCAGCTCCTTCCTGGGATCCCGTCACCGGCTGGGGGACGCCAAACTACCCAGAGCTCCTGTCTGCCCTGCTGGGCTAGGCGGCCACATCACACTTGCAGACATCCATGGCGCTTGGCCACTCAACAGCCGGGGGGAGCTGTGTGGGTTGGGAATCTCAGGCTGCAAGATGGAGGCAGGGGGCATTTCAGAGGGCCTCCCCCCGCCTCCACTGCAGGACCAAAAAGTGTGCATTGGCCTAACAGTGAAAGCAGAAATATGCAAACATTCATCTCTGTAAATCTATAGTGGTACGTCGGGAGGAGAAGGTGCAACTAAAAGCTAACAGTCTAAATTGTGTTTTGCGTGTGAAATACCTTGACGTGCAAAGGGTTGTGGTGTTTCTCTTAGCAAATGTGAGAACTGTGCATCTACAGCAACACAAGAGAAGTCCCATTGCTGGCAAATCAGGTAGGGGGAGGGGTCACAGAGTGTGCCTTTCTGCACTTAAAGGTCTGATGTACCCCCCCCTCCCCATACTCTCAGGATGAAGTCCTGCCTCTAGGAAACTGAACTCCATAGCCAAATGCTCTTGATCAGTTCTTCACAAGCTCCAACTGGAAACTACCTCATTGGAGTGAGGATGGGGGTTGCCCTCCCTCTGTTGGCGCTGTGTCTCCCGGACCCACTCATGGGGGGCCCACAAAATGCAACGCCAGCTCAGTCCCTCTCCTCTAGGCCACAGCTGCTCCCTAAGCAGAAGGCCTTGCTTGGGTCCTGGTCCCGATCCTGTCCCACCTGCAGGAACTGCTTTGCCAGCACTACTTGGGCACCGTTTGCAGGTTGGGGGATTTTTGGGTGGAGGGAGCCCAGTTCAGTGCCTCCATTGCCTGGAAATCTTTGCCAGGCAGCCCCCCCCCCGCCCTTCTTTCCCTCCTGCTCCAAGGTCAATGGAGGCAGCACTTCTTTCCCCACCCCCTAATTTGCACTAGAGCATTTAATGTGGAAACACGGATATTCTTCCTCCAATAATGGATTTATATATTCAGCTTTGATAATTCTAAATACAATTACCGGTACTTATGGTTGTGATTTCTTTTTTAAAAACAACAGATTTGTGGTGTCTCGGGTTCCTGGGTGTGAATGCAAAAGCAGAGACTTGCCCCCGTCAGGGCTGTCCTGGGGTGTATGATCTCTGGCTTCGGCTGGGCGCGTCTCTCAAACTCAGCCTCGGCTCGCCCAGGCCCACCTGCAGTTGCGGCCGGAGGGGACTGAACCCGGAAAGGGGTCGGGGGGGGGTCGGGACCCCTTCCGTTCTTCCCCACGCTGCTCGAGTCCCGCCCCGTGAGGAGCAGCGCAGGCGCGCCCCCGGCTCAGCCCAAAGGGCCCCGTCCGCCCCATCCCGGCCAGCGGAGCCCGACCGAGAGCCCGCTCCTCCTCCTCCTCCTCCTCCTCCTCCTCCTCCGGGGATTGGCCCACTCCGCCCTGGGCGCCGCCGCCGCCGCTGCTGCTGCCTCTCTGGTGGCCGGGAGTTCCGCAGCCCAACTCGGCCGCCCCCCAGCCCCGCCCCGGGGAGGAGAGCGGAAGTGGCGTCTGCGTGGAGGCCGTAGAAGATCGGCCCGGAAAAGGAAGCGGCGGCCGCCGCCGCTCAGGCCCCGCCCCTCCACTTCCGGGACCCTCTTCCCCTCCCTCTCGGCTGGGCTCGCGGCGCCTGCGCAGAAGCTGCTCGGAGCGACGCTGCTGGCCGGGGACTCCATGAGCGCCATCGGGGGAAGCGGAGGCGGCGGCGGCGGAGGAGGAGGAGGAGGCGGCTTGGAGCCCGACCTCAGCCCGGCCGTCCCCGTCCCCCTCCCCGCCGCCGGGGGAGACAGCGCCAAGGGCAGCCCGGGGCTCGTGGCGGCCGTGGCCGGAGCCGGAGGGGCCGGTGAGAGAGATGGGGGGGGAGGGGCGGGAGGGGGGGCAGTGGGGGGGGAGGGGAGGGGGGCAGTGGGGGAGGGGAGGGGCAGTGGGGGGAGGGGAGGGCAGTGGGGGGAGATGGAGGGGGAGGGGCAGTGGGGGGAGATGGAGGGGAGGGCAGTGGGGGGAGGGGCACCTCCCTCCCTCCCTCCCTTCGCCCAGGGTCCCTCTCTAAACCCCTCTCTCTCCCCGCAGGTGCCTCCTCCTCCTCTTCTTCCTCCTCTTCTTCTTCCTCCTCCTCTTCCTCCTCCTCCTCACTGCTGGCGCATCCCGCGGAGGCGGCGCCCTCGGTGCCCAACGGGATCTTCGCGCCGCCTGGAGCAGCCGCCAACGGGGACTCAAAGCCTGCCACCCTCGCCGCCGCCTCCTCCTCCTCCTCGGCCTCCGCCGCCCCGGCCTCCTCTCCCGCCTCCAGCGCCCCGCTGGTTGACTTCCTGCTGCAGCTGGAGGATTACACGCCCACGGTGAGGCCCCCTTCCCCGCCCGGCCCCCGGCAGCCTCGCCGGCCCCTGGTGGCATCTCCCTCTTGAACCGCCCTCCTCGTGCTTCCCTTCCAGATCCCAGATGCCGTCACAGGCTACTACCTGAACCGCGCTGGCTTCGAAGCTTCCGATCCGCGCATGTAAGTGGAGCTGTGGGGGGAGAGACCACGTCCCCAGGACAGATAGCCTGCCCCTTCCTCTAGGGGCCCCGTGTGGCTCTTCGGGACCCATCCTGGGGCTCACCCACCCCTCCCCTCATCCCTCCTCCGATTTCCCCTTCCAGCATCCGCCTGATCTCCTTGGCCGCCCAGAAGTTCATCTCCGACATTGCCAACGACGCTCTGCAGCACTGCAAGATGAAGGGGACGGCCTCTGGCAGCTCCCGAAACAAGAGCAAGGTGAGGTCCCCCAATGCCCCCCTCACAGGGGGCCCCTTCCAGAACTCTCCCTTGAGGTGCCCAGGCGGGAGACCCAGCTGACGCCCCTCCCTCTCCCCTCCCCCACTGCAGGACAAGAAGTACACCCTCACCATGGAGGACCTTGCGCCCGCGCTCTCCGAGTACGGCATCAACGTCAAGAAGCCCCACTACTTCACTTAGCTGCCCGACCCCTGGATTCGCTCTTGGACTGCTTCTCTTTCCTCTTGGCTGCTGTACCATTAAAGTTCTCCCTTTCTTGAGCTCCCTGCCCTGCCTGTCGCTCCTTCTGCATCGGAGGAGGAGGGGAGCAGCTCTGGTAAAAGATGGGGGGGGTGTATTTGAAGCAAAGGTGTGCCAGAACACCTGGGGGGATAATGAAGATGTCTCTGGCTGGCCTGGGCATGACATTCCTGGGACACCCAAGGAAGTTCATCCAGCATTTCCTGTGGTGCAGGTGGAAGGTAAAGGCAAAGGCAGTGGTATTTAATAGACTCTTAGAGTTGGAAGAGACCCCGAGGGTCATCTAGTCCAACCCAGCTGCAGTGCAGGAGTCTCAAGAAAGGAGGTTCCGACTAAACATTCGAAAAAACTTTCTGACATTATTATTTATACTCTGCCCATCTGGCTGGGCTTCCCCAGCCACTCTGGGTGGCTTCCAATAAAATACTAAAATACATCAAACATTAAAAGCTTCCCTACACAGGGCTGTTTTCAGATGTCTTCTAAAAGTCTGGTAGTTGTTGTTCTCTTTGAGATGGCCCTTGGGATCCCTTCCAGCTCGTAAGAGTCTATGATTCCTGTGAGTCTTCACTTCTCCAGGCTCAGCATACCTAACAGGTCATCTTAGTTGCCCTCTGCGCGTGCTCCAGAGAATGGGAATGGCCTGGGCAGGGCCTCCCTCCTCCGTCTTGTTGGCACTAGGGCAGTGATGTTCCTGGACAGCGAAGCTCGTCCAGCATTGCCTGTGATGTGTGGGGAAGCCAAGGTCAGCGAGGCTTCTGAAGGCCACTTGCAGGAAGCCACACCAGGGGAGATGGGCTCTGGTGCCTGGGTGCTGCTTGCTTGTTCCCTGTGGGGAAATCTGGCTGGCCACCAAGAGAACAATTTGCTGGACTTGGTGGGCCCGCTTGGCCCTGATCCAGGAGCAAAAGAGCTAGGAATTGCAGGGAGGAGGTGGGTGGAAAGCTTGACTGCTCCAGGGTCAGGGGTTCAGTTGCTCCAGCTGCAGCAGCTTTTCTCTTTGGTTACTTATGCTGGGCTGGGGAAACCAGAGGGAACTGGCCTCTGGAAGGTCAAACTCCCCCCATCATCTGGATTTGCTGTAGTGATCTTCCAGTGCCCCACAGGTTTTGAACCATTCTATTGGAGAAGGGGGACTTTGGGGCAATGGGATGGCAGTGGTCCGTTGGGCAGCAGGTGCGCCTCCTACCCTTCTATGGTAGGCGACAGTCCAGGCCCTCCAAAACTCACACACAAAGTCCCTCTCTGTCCAGTCAGGCACGGTCACAGTTGGCAGTTTTTTCCACTAGGCAAAAACGCTTCAGGAGGGCATGGAGCTGTGCGAAACAGCCCCCCCCCCCCCGCATGCAGCCAAGTGGCTCTACGTGACTCAGCAGCTGCCTCAGAGCCTCCCATGTCCTGTGACCATGGCCACCAACCACGCAGTAACTCAAGCACTGCAACATGGCGATGGGCGTTGCAGCTCGCAGAGGGTGGCCTCAGTTGATGCCCATGAGAACACACCCCGGCCGCACCCATTGCATCTCTTCTGCTTTCTCCCATTCCAATGGGTCGTTTGGTTTTCTCCTTCTGTCTCTCCACTGAGAAGGTGTGTGGAGGAGATTACTTGTGGAGAAGGGAAACTTACTCTAGAAGGAAAACCACAAGCGTGCTGCTGGCTCCGGCGAGAGGCCTATCTCACCCACCACAGCCGGGGAGCCCAGAGGCACGTTGCCTCTGGTGCTGGAGCAGCTGCAGAGCTGCTAGGAGCAGCGGCCTGATCCTGCTCAAAGCACCCACATGTGCTGGGCATGAGAACCCAAATACAGCCACCTCCCCACAGTAGACTGTCGTATGTTGGACATGGACCAGGCTCCCGGGGGAGAGGGTGGCAATGGCAGGAGGGACTGGGGCAACCGTCCTCTTCAGCCGAGGCCCACCAGGGAAGCTGGGGCAGCTGGCTCTGTCCCCCTCACCCCACAAAGGCTGCAGTGACCACTGTCTCCTTTAATAACTTTATTTTGAGCCCTCTGGCTTGGGCCGGGGCCTGCATAGAAAAGATAAAAACCGTGCAGCGCAGAGGCAGGCGGTGGGCTCCGAGTGCGAGGCGACGTTGCTGATGCGCGCTGAGGGGACGGGGTGCTAGGCACTGAGGAAGGCAGCGCAGCATTGCTGGGGGAGCTTAAAAGGCCAGGGCAGCTTACAGCAGGGACCCCCCCCCAAATAGAGCTGCCCCGAAAGGGGAGGGGGGCAAGGCGGTGGCTCCTTCTGTACCGTTTTGTTTCAAGAGGAAGTGGCGCTTCCTGTCAACAGCGCCTCCCCAAGGCACTTGTGGGCAGGTTGGGGGGGCTGCAGAGCACATCCCCCCTCACTTCTCTTGCATCTTCTCCAGGATGGGGACGATCATGTCAAATTTGGGGCGCTTGGCTGGGTCCTCGTTCATGCAGATCTTCATCAGCTTGCAAATGTGGGGGGAGATGCCTGGGGGGATGGTGGGCCGCAGCCCCTCCAGGGCGACCTGGGAGGAGGAGGAGGAGGAGGAGGAGAGAAGAAGAAGAACCTCAGATGGGGCCCCAAGGGTCGCCTAGTCCGACCCGGCCAGGGTGGGGGGTGGGGGTCCTGCCCCTTCCTCACCTTCATGCCAATCTCCATGTTGGAGAGGTCAGCAAAGGGCACTTCCCGCGTCACCAGCTCCCACAGCAGAACGGCGAAGCTCCACATGTCGGCCGAGCGGCGGTTGATCTCCTCTGCCTTCTTCTGCAGAGCTGCGGGAGCAAAGAGGGGCTGCAGACACGCAGTGGCTGGAAGGGGGAGCTGAAGGGGGACCCCTCCCCAGCAGGGCAGCTGCTCTGCCTGCACTCGGCCCCCCAGTCAAGCCCAGGGGGGCTTAGGGGTCAGCCCCGACTGCTGCTGGCCAGAGGAAGGCAGTGTGGCAAAGTGGTCGGAGGCACTCGCAGGAACGCCCCCCCCCGGGAGTGCTTTTCAGTTGGAGGTATTCTTCTGCATTGAGCAGTAAAATATACTGAAACTAAGGATAAGAGCCAGAAAAGATGACAAGTTCGGGGGGCGGGGGGGGGGGAGATCTGTGGAACAGCTCTTAGTGCGGTGACTGCTCTGCCCCCTGCAGTCGCAGGAGGGGAGACTGGCTCTGGCGCTTGAATCCTGCTGGTGGGCTCCCCTTAGGGGCATCTGGTCGGCCAGGGCGCGCACCCCCCTTGGCCCGATCCAGCAGGCTCGTCTTTGGATCTCAGCGGAGGCCAGGGCGCCACTCACCTTCCGGCGCCACCCAGGCTGGCGCATACATCCTGCCAGGGCACTGGAAGGAGAACTTGACGTCTGCCATGCTGATCCGGGCCGTCATGTCCTCATCGATCTGTGGGGGGAGGGAGGACACAACGGGGAGCTCAGCCTCCTAGAGACCCCACCAGCCCACTGAACCCCAGAAAGGGCCCCCACGCACCATGATGCTGCGGCTGTTGAGATAGTGGCGTGGGATGAGGGGCTCCAGGGTGTGTAGGAAGGCCATTCCCCGGGCCACGTCCAGAGCAAACTTCACGGCCTGCGTCTGGTCCACCACAAAGTCTGCAGGGGGAGAGAGAGCAGGGGGGGGCAAATATGGGGGGGAGCCTGCCTCTGCTGGGGTCAGCGCTTGCTCCTGAGCGCTGTCTGGAAGGGTGGGGAGGGCTTCCAAGGGCTGCCTGTGATTCAGGCTGCCCAAGCCAGGGGCCACAGTGCAAGAATGGCATGAGGCTCTTGGGCAGGGGCCACTCTGGCCCCCCAACCCTTTCTGGCTCTGGCCATCTACGCACTTTAGGCCTGGAAAGAGGTAAAGGCAGCCAGAAAGCGCTCTGTTCCCTCCCGAGAGCTAGAGAGAGAGCAAAGGATTCCGGCGTTGCCCGGGGGGGGGGGGGGCTAGATCCCTGGGATCCCTTTCCACACACCCTGGGGTGCCCCTTGGAAGCAGGGCGAGGTATGGGAAGCGAGACTCACTGGTGCCTTCGTGGAGCACGTTGTAGAGGGAGCCGTAGGGCATCCAGTGGGTGAGGGTGATGGGGTGCGGAGCAGGAGGGGACTGGCAGGCGCCCAGGACCGGCAGCACGTTGGGGTGGGAGAAGATCCTGCGAAGGGAAAGGAGGCGAGTGGAGGAAGCAGCCCACCCACCCACCGCCTGCGCTCACGTGGGCAGGCAGGCAGGGGCAGCCCCACGGGACCCCCCTCCCACCCACCTGAGCTTGGGGTACTCCTCATTGAAGTCGCGGCTCTTGCGGGTCGTCCAGTCTCGGGGCTTGAGCACTTTGATGACGATGCCGTTTCCCTGCCAGCGCCCTTCCCAGAGCTGTGGAGAAGGCGGAAGGTCAGAGGGGAGTGGGCAAAGGAGACGGGGGGGGGGTGTGAGGGGAAAGGAGCGGCCCCCACCTCTCCAGACTGGTTCTCGTTGAGCTTGTGTCCCAGGGTCAGCTGCCGGAAGTCGATGCCAGCCAGTTTGTTCAAAGTCCCATTGCCTAAAAGAGGAGACCATCATTCAGGCGCAGCCTGCAGAAGGAACCCCCCACTGCCCAACCCACTGAGCAAGGAGAGTCCCCTCTGCCCCCCCCCCGGCTCCCAGGTCTCCCCCTTCCTGCAGCTCTCTTACGAGGTCTCGTCCGTGTTGTGCCCTTCCAGAAGGTGTCCTTGAAGGGGATGCGCGTGAGGCTCTGGCCCAACTTCTCTGCTCGCTCTGGAGGGGGTGGGGAGAGAAAACAGGGATGTTGTGCAGGTGGAAAGGGGGTGGAAAGAGCCCCCCCCCAGCGCCTGGAGACTCACTGAACAGGCAGGGCCAGGAAGCAAGAGGGGGTGCAGAGGAAGGGTGGCAGGAAGCAGCAGGGGAACCCAAGGGAAGAAGGACCAGAGCCCTCAGGGGTGAGACGTGAGGAGTGGTCAGAGGCAGGAGACTGGGAAGAGGAGGTGAGGGAAGAGGTAGCAGGGTCTAGTCAGCCGGGATCCAGAATCAGAGGCAGAAGGAGGGCGGCCAAGAGGCAGAGACCAGGCAGGCTGGAGAAGCCGCCAGGTCATATAATGCACTCGGGGAGATATCTTGGCTGAACAAGTGTGTACAAACGCTCTAAACAAATTAACAAATGTAGTCTGACCCAAAGACTGAGTCTGACCAAACTGCGAGAGGCAGTGGAAGACAGGAGTGCCTGGCGTGCTCTGGTCCAGGGGGTCTCGAAGAGTTGGACACGACTAAACAACAACAACTAGTCTGACCCGAAACAAAGGGGGGAAGTAGCTGAAGGCAGCCGCTGAGCGGGGGGGGGGGTTAAGGAGGCAGGGTGGGCAGGAGCCGCGCTCACCTTTCAGGGAGTCCCGCAGGGGCGCCTTGGCCTTGTCCAGGGGTGTCTCCCCATATTTGTTGCAGATGCTGACGAGAGCCCCGCTGGCCACCAGGTCCTGAAGGAAGGGGAGGGTGAGACCATCTTCCCACAGCAGCCCTCCTTGCCCAGCCCCCCTCCCCACGGGGCACCAGGTCTTCCACCAGCCCCACTCCCCACAGGTCCCCACTGCCCTCCTATTAGGGGGCTGTCATTTTAAATTGTGTGAATTGGGGGTATATGAATTTGCTTGAGCAGAGCACAAATGTTGCCACCGCAGCAGGAAGAGACCCGGCAGCCCCAGGTGCCTCTGCCAAAGCAGCCCTCACCTCAGCCACCTGCTCCTGGGCCCAAAAGCAGGCGTAGTGGAGGGGGGCGTTCCCGTGCTCGTTCACCGCGTTGATGTCGGCCTTGAACTGGATCAGCTGAGCAGGGCAAGAAGGCAGAGGGTGGGCTGGGGAAGGAAATCCCACTCCAAAAGACCCCCACAAAGTGAAATTCACCCACCCCCCGGGGGAGGGAGATGCGCCAGACGCCCACCCTCTCCCCTCTCCCTGCAGGGGGCGCCCTAAGACCCAGAGGAGGATGTGGGGATGACCGGGAGCCTTGGGCAGCCCCCTCCCTGTGGGGTCCCCCCTACCTTCTGGACAATGTCCCGGTGGCCGTGGCTGGCAGCCAGGTGCAGCGGGGTGTCGTCCCCCCGGTTCATGACGTTGATGCGCGCCCCTCGCATGACCAGCATGTCGACCACGCTGGAGCGGCCCTCGCGGCAGGCCCAGTGCAGGGGACTGAAGCCGTGGTCATCGCTGCAGGGAGGGAGAGGGGCCTGTTCAGTGCCCAGGGCAGGAGAGGGGCCAGCCTGGCCAGGGGGCAGAGCTCCAGGGGTCCCGGGGCACCTGGTCAGGGCTGGGAGCGCCAGAGAGTCTGGGAGCGCAGGAATCCCTCCTCCCTCCCTGAGCTCACTCTTCTTGAGCCAAGCCCAGGAGAAGAGGAAGACCAGGCCTTAAAAGGAGATCTGAGCCAGGAAGACGGGGCAGCCCCCAGGCCCCAGCCGGGACAGCAGCGAGGGGGCCAAGCAGATGGGAGCATCCCAGGGGAGAAAAGCAACCACTGGCCCGGAAATCGAAGGGTCGCCTAGTCCGGCCCCTGCAAGCCAGGAATCTCAGCTAAGCATCCTTGACAGATGGCTGCCCAACCTCAACTTAAGAAGCTCCGAGGAAGAAGAGTCTGCCTCCCCTGTAGAACAGATCAGAAGGGGATCCTGGCCGGCATCACAGACCCCACCCACCCACCCTTCCTGCCACCCCCAAATCCCTTCAAGCCTTGGGGAGCAGACTGTGTGGAGGGGGGGTGTGGCTGTGGCTGCTTCAGAGGACTAGGAACAAGTTCAGGACCAGAGGAAAATGAAGCCACCCATTTGCCTGACCCTGGACTCCATAGAGGGATTTGGGGGTCGTTGCACAGCCCCCGTTTCAAGCCGCCTGCCCCCAGGGAAGGAGGCTGGCTGCTTGGGCAAGGGGCTTCTTCCTTTGATGGGCAGCCCTCACCTCACCCACCCCCACACTCTGACCCCCACCCCAGGGCTCCTCCACAGCAAGGCTGAAATGAGGGGAGACTGGGCAGCCCCCCTCACTGGCCTCCTCCCCTCAGGGCTGGGCTGGTGCTTCTGGACTCCCGCCACCTGCTCTGCCATCCAGGCTCCCCCCCCCCCAGCTCCGGCATCAGAATTCCTGCCGGCGTGTTTCGGAGCTGCGGTCATTTCCTGTCCTTTCCAGCCGAGGGGACGAAATGCAGGACGAAGGCGGCTTGGGGGCGCGGGGGGCGGACAGGGGGTCTGGGGCTGCTCCCTCCCTCCCGCTCCCCGCTCCCCACTCACCCCTGGTTGAGGTCGTTCTCCGTGTTGTCCAGCCAGAGGCGCACGGCCACGGCGTTGCCCTCCCGGCACTGGGTGAAGATGTCGTCCATGGTCCCTCCTGCCAAAGGAGGGCGGGGAGGGTCAGCCAGCGGTCGGAGCCGCTATGAGCCCCCTCGCCCCGCAACCCTGCACCCCACCCGCCCCGAGTAACGGTCCCGAGCGGTCCCGATTCAGGGCGGGTTCTCGGTGGGAAGAGGGCGATCGGCAGCCGCCCCGACGTCCTGCTCTGGAGCCGAGAATCTGGGCTCTAGGTCCGGGCAGGAGCCCCCCGACGCCGCCCTTCCGCAGCAGAGCCGCAGCGCCCGGCCGGGAGAGCCGCTTCCTCGGAGCGGAGCGCGATGCCCCCCAGGGTCCCGGGGCAAGAGAGCGGGAGCGGCCGCCCCGAGGGGAAGCCGCCCTCCCGGGCCCCCGTCTGGCAAGGGCAGCGACGGACGGGCGTGGCCGGGCTGCTGCGAGGCGAGCGGCCGGGCTGCCCCACCCCGACCCCGGGCGATCCCCGTCTCGCCGTCCCCTTTACCGTGCCCGATCGCGGCGGCGGCTCCGTGTGTGGCGCGTCCCGTCGGCTCGGCTCCTCCCCGCCGCTCCCTCGGGCGGCTCCCGCCGGAGACCGCCCCCTCCGACGGCCCCGCCGCTCCCGCCCCGCCCGGCAGCAGAGGCTCCGCAGCAGCGGCCACGGGCGCCACCAGGCGGCGCTGCAAAGCCCGGCCAGGGCCGGGGGTCCCGGGCGCCCCGCCTCCGTCCCAGACAGGCCCCCGAGGGCGGACTCTGCTCCCCCAGGCGCGGGGCTCTCTCTCCGCCGCCTCCCTCCGAGGGCGCCCCCTCCTCCAGCGCCGCTTGCTGGGGCGGCCTCCGGGCGGCAGGGGGCGCCCGCGCGCGGCTCTGGCGGCGAGGTGGTCTCTCTAGAGTGCCGCCCGGAGACCCGGAACTTCCGCCAGCGTGAGCGCCTGGGCTGCTGCTGCTGCTGCTGCCTCTTTCCCCGGGAGGATGTTCGAGGAAGCCCCGTGGGGCGAGGCGGCGGAGCTGGCGCTGCCGGGCCCGCGGGCCGAGGCGAGTCCCTCTGGGGGCCGCCCCCCGCCCAGCCCCGCCCAGCGCCGGCGTCTCCTGGCCACCCTGCGCCGCCTGCAGAGCTCGGCGCCGCGCCCGCCTTCCCCGTCCTCCTCCGGCCGAGGCAGCAGCGCGTCGGACTCGGAGGCCGAGCAGCAGCCGGAGAGGAAGCGCGCCAGGAAGGGGCCGCAGGCGGGGTCGCCCCCCGGAGCTCCGCAGTCGCAGCAGCAGCAGCAGCGCCTCCCGGCCCGGAAGGAGGAGCCGGCGCCCCGAGCAGGTGATGCCGCTAGGCTGTGGCCGAGGGTCTCCCCGGGACGAAGGCCGAGAGAATTGCCCGGTGTGCAAAGGCGGGCCAGGGGGGTGAGGCTGGGTTGTATACCTGCAGGAGGGTTCGGGTGGCGGGAAGCGGCAAGCTGCCTTCTCGCGGGACTCTCGACGGCTATGCTCCTTTGCTGTGGATTTCCCATCAGGGTTGTCCACTGTAAGGCTATGATGTTGGACTAGATCCTTATAATCTTACGGACCATTCCCTGCATCTCAGTCCCTGGGGGCCTCTCCAGGTGTGGGGGTGGGGCTGGTCCCTCTGCCTGAAACCCCAGAGGGTTCTTGCCACCAGCAGTCAGTGCACAGAGCCCTGGACTAGAGCAGTGTTTCCCAACCTTGGGCCTCCAGCTGTTTTTGGACTACAACTCCCATCATCCCTAGCTAGCAAGACCAGTGGTCAGGGATGATGGGAATTGTAGTTCAAAAACAGCTGGAGGCCCAAGGTTGGGAAACACTGGACTAGAGAGATCATCTGGGCCGGGGGGGGGGGGCGACGGAGCCCAGGGCTAAGCACCTCTGTCCTTGCCCTGTCCAGACAAGGCAGCTGGAGGCGGAGACCCTGAGCCCAGCAGCAAGCAGAGGAGCGCTGGGGCAAAGGACCCAGAGGAGGAGCCAAGGCTGACCAGGAGACAGTGGAAGAACCGCCAGAAGAACAAGCGTCGCCAGAACAGGTTCAAGGCAGGGCTGGGCCGCGAGGAGCCCCCTGTGGCCTCTGCAGCAGCAGAGGAGCCCCCTGCAGTCCCAGCAGCAGCAGAGGAGCCCCCCAGCAGCCAGGAAGATCCAGCAGGCCAGGAACTTCTCAGCGAAAGGGCAGCATCCCTGCGGCTGCGCATGGAGGAGCGGCTGGAGTCCGCGCGCTTCCGCTTCATCAACCAGCAGCTCTACACATCCTCCAGCCAGCAGGCGGTCCAGCTCTTCCAGGAGGATCCTGAGGCCTTGGCAGTGTATCACCGGGGCTTTGCCCGGCAGGTGGCCCAGTGGCCTGAAAACCCTGTGCAGCGCTTTGTGCGCTACCTGCGTCAGAGGTAACGATGGGGGGGGGGATTGGCCAGCTCCCCCCCTTCAACATGTGCTGGTTAAGCAAACATCTGCGCGTGTTGCAATGTCATAGTTAACGTATAGAAGTGTTTGACAGGGTGGGTGCACGGTCTAACTTTGCCTCTCCCCTCACAGACCAGCATCATTCGTGGTGGCAGATTTCGGTTGCGGGGACTGCAAGCTGGCACGCAGCGTGCGGAACAAAGTCCACTGTTTTGACCTGGTGGCTCTGGATCCCCGAGTCATTGTCTGCGACATGGCCCAGGTACGTTGGGGGGATGGCCTCCTCACAGCACCTGCCTTCTCCAGGCTTGGGAACAGCTGTGTGAAGAGCCCATGCAGGTGGGCTTTGCTTCACTGGAGGCTTTTAAGCAGAGCTTGGACAGCCACGTGTCAGGGCTGCATTGAGTGTGATTCCTACATTCCAGGGGGTTAGACTAGATGGCCCTTGGGTGTCCCTCCCAGCTCCATGATTCTATGACTACCTCACACACATGGTTTTCCGACTGCGCCTCCCTCTTTTTGCTCCCTCTGTGCAGGTCCCCCTGGATGATGAATCTGTTGACGTGGCTGTGTTCTGCCTGGCACTGATGGGTACTAACCTGCAGGAGATCTTGGAAGAGGCCAACCGTGTGCTACGAGTTGGGTAATTGTGGGGTCCTGGGCTCACTGGCATGGGAGGGGCTGTGGCAGTGAGGGGGACACGTGAAATGGCTGATCAGGGCACTGCCAGCTCAGTCAAAACCTATGGCTGTCATATGGGGATGATGATATTTAATACCTATGCTGCTTAATAATAAAAATAATACTCTGCCCATCTGACTGGGTTTTCTAGTCAGAAATATTAAAATATTAATAATATATTAATAGAGATATAGTTAGAATATTTTTAAGCGTTGTACAGAAAACTGAAATAACAGCTTAAACAAAAGATATTACTAAAATAAAGGATTATGTTAATATACATTTATTAATATTTAGACAATGAATTAATGATGGTTGCAAAGAGCCTTGAGGCAGTGAATCAGCTAAATCTGTTTAGTAGCAAACTTTCAACATAACTAACTTGAATATTGAAAATACCACTATTTATGTATTTTCTATTTCAGTATCAAAACAGTCCTGAAAATATGCATGAAGCCCCCCTGATTTAAAGTTTGCTTGCATCCTTTAAAATCAGTCCTCGGCATCAATTGCCTTTGAAAACAAGTCGTGAGGAGAAGGATGTGACTCTCTGGTCAGGAAGAGCTTTGGTGGGAGTGGAGACTTCCCAGGCAGAAGTCTTGGGTTCACCCACTCACACCCACCCATGGCAGCTCCAGGCAGAGCTCAGAGAAGGACCCCTGGGTCTGAAGCCCTGGAGAGAGAAGGGAGGCTCTCAGTGGCTACATGTCGGCCACAGGATCAGAGGCAGCAGCTCTGGGTCATTGGGAATAATAATAGTAACAATAATAATTTTATTGCTTGTATCTGGCCCATCTGGCTGGGTTTCCCCAGCCACTCTGGGTGGGTTACAGGACATGAAATACTGTAAAACAGACATTTTAAATTTCCGAAGGTGGGAAGGGGCTGCTTCTGAGGCATCCTCTGAGGTTTCCTGACGTGAAATGCAATAATAAAATACGCAAGCGTTCCCTGGACTGCTTAGGGGGAAAGGATTACATGACTGGTAACCATTCAAAGCACCAGCAAAAGCAATGACCTATAGTATTTGGGGCCCCTCTCTTTGGGGCCCAGGCCAAGCCTTCTCCCAGCCCCTCCCGGGTCCTGCAGGTGCCCTCCTGACACACACCGGGGTGGGGTGGGGGGGGGTGTCCTGCTCAGGGGATGTTTCTGCTGCTGGAGGATTCACTCAGCAGCATCCCTGTTAGTCTTTTCTGCCCGCCCCCCCCTTGCTGGCTGGTGGCTGATCTCCCCCCGTCTCTCCCTCCCCGCAGGGGGACCCTCCTGGTGGCCGAGGTGGCCAGCCGCTTCCCGGACCTGCGGGCCTTCGTGGCGGCGCTGGCCCGGCTCGGCTTCCGGCTCCTCCGCAAGGTAGGTCTCCTCCCCCTCTGCTGGGGGTTCCCTCCTCCCTCCCGGGGGCCGCGCGAGGTCCCCCTCCGGCCCGCGCGCGCCTCCGCATGGCCTCCCCTCTCCTCTCCTTGCAGGACGTGACGGGCAGCCACTTCTTCACCTTCGAGCTGCGCAAGGCGGAAGCGGCGAAGCGGAAGGGGCGGGGCGAAGGGGCTCTTCCGGGCCTGGCGCTCCGCCCCTGCCTCTACAAGCGGCGGTGACGCCACGGGGGGCGGGGCTTCGTCTGGGCCGCCGCCTCGCTCTGAATAAAGCGCTTTTCTCTCGAAGCGGAAGTGTCGCGTCTCGTCTCGCAATGGCTGCTGGGGGCTGTAGTTGAGGGAGGGGCGGCGGCGGCGGCGGTGCGTGGCCGGCGCAAGCGCAGTCCGGCCGAGTCCGGGCGGCGGCGGCGGCGGCAGCAGCGATGTCGGGATCGGCGGGCGGGCCGGGCCCCGGGGGCGGTGGCGGCGGGGGCAAGCTGGACATCAACCGGGCCTGCGTGGCGGAGCTGGAGCGGGCGCTGGTCGGCATCGGGCGCCGGCGGGCCCGGGGCATCGTGCGCAAGCGGGAGGTGAGGGACCCAGGCGTCCGAGGGGCCCGCTCCCTCTCCCCCCCCCGGAGGGGGTCTGCTTCCCTCCCCGACCCTGGGGTCCCGCGGGGGGGGCTCCTCTCCTCCTCTCGGTGCGTGACGGGGGCGCCCCTCTCCCCCCCCCGGAGGGGGTCTGCTTCCCTCCCCGACCCTGGGGTCCCGCGGGGGGGGCTCCTCTCCTCCTCTCGGTGCGTGACGGGGGCGCCCCTCTCCCCCCCCGGAGGGGGTCTGCTTCCCTCCCCGACCCTGGGGTCCCGCGGGGGGGGCTCCTCTCCTCCTCTCGGTGCGTGACGGGGGCGCCCCTCTCCCCCCCCGGAGGGGGTCTGCTTCCCTCCCCGACCCTGGGGTCCCGCGGGGGGGGCTCCTCTCCTCCTCTCGGTGCGTGACGGGGGCGCCCCTCTCCCCCCCCCCGGAGGGGGTCTGCTTCCCTCCCCGACCCTGGGGTCCCGCGGGGGGGGCTCCTCTCCTCCTCTCGGTGCGTGACGGGGGCGCCCCTCTCCCCCCCCCCGGAAGGGGGTCTGCTTCCCTCCCCGACCCTGGGGTCCCGCGGGGGGGGCTCCTCTCCTCCTCTCGGTGCGTGACGGGGGCGCCCCTCTCCCCCCCCCGGAGGGGGTCTGCTTCCCTCCCCGACCCTGGGGTCCCGCGGGGGGGGGCTCCTCTCCTCCTCTCGGTGCGTGACGGGGGCGCCCCTCTCCCCCCCCCGGAGGGGGTCTGCTTCCCTCCCCGACCCTGGGGTCCCGCGGGGGGGGGCTCCTCTCCTCCTCTCGGTGCGTGACGGGGGCGCCCCTCTCCCCCCCCCGGAGGGGGTCTGCTTCCCTCCCCGACCCTGGGGTCCCGCGGGGGGGGCTCCTCTCCTCCTCTCGGTGCGTGACGGGGGCGCCCCTCTCCCCCCCCCGGAGGGGGTCTGCTTCCCTCCCCGACCCTGGGGTCCCGCGGGGGGGGCTCCTCTCCTCCTCTCGGTGCGTGACGGGGGCGCCCCTCTCCCCCCCCCCCGGAAGGGGGTCTGCTTCCCTCCCCGACCCTGGGGTCCCGCGGGGGGGGCTCCTCTCCTCCTCTCGGTGCGTGACGGGGGCGCCCCTCTCCCCCCCCCCGGAGGGGGTCTGCTTCCCTCCCCGACCCTGGGGTCCCGCGGGGGGGGGCTCCTCTCCTCCTCTCGGTGCGTGACGGGGGCGCCCCTCTCCCCCCCCGGAGGGGGTCTGCTTCCCTCCCCGACCCTGGGGTCCCGCGGGGGGGGGCTCCTCTCCTCCTCTCGGTGCGTGACGGGGGCGCCCCTCTCCCCCCCCGGAGGGGGTCTGCTTCCCTCCCCGACCCTGGGGTCCCGCGGGGGGGGGCTCCTCTCCTCCTCTCGGTGCGTGACGGGGGCGCCCCTCTCCCCCCCCGGAGGGGGTCTGCTTCCCTCCCCGACCCTGGGGTCCCGCGGGGGGGGCTCCTCTCCTCCTCTCGGTGCGTGACGGGGGCGCCCCTCTCCCCCCCCCCCGGAAGGGGGTCTGCTTCCCTCCCCGACCCTGGGGTCCCGCGGGGGGGGCTCCTCTCCTCCTCTCGGTGCGTGACGGGGGCGCCCCTCTCCCCCCCCCGGAGGGGGTCTGCTTCCCTCCCCGACCCTGGGGTCCCGCGGGGGGGGGGCTCCTCTCCTCCTCTCGGTGCGTGACGGGGGCGCCCCTCTCCCCCCCCGGAGGGGGTCTGCTTCCCTCCCCGACCCTGGGGTCCCGCGGGGGGGGGGCTCCTCTCCTCCTCTCGGTGCGTGACGGGGGCGCCCCTCTCCCCCCCCCGGAGGGGGTCTGCTTCCCTCCCCGACCCTGGGGTCCCGCGGGGGGGGGCTCCTCTCCTCCTCTCGGTGCGTGACGGGGGCGCCCCTCTCCCCCCCCCGGAGGGGGTCTGCTTCCCTCCCCGACCCTGGGGTCCCGCGGGGGGGGCTCCTCTCCTCCTCTCGGTGCGTGACGGGGGCGCCCCTCTCCCCCCCCCCGGAGGGGGTCTGCTTCCCTCCCCGACCCTGGGGTCCCGCGGGGGGGGGGCTCCTCTCCTCCTCTCGGTGCGTGACGGGGGCGCCCCTCTCCCCCCCCGGAGGGGGTCTGCTTCCCTCCCCGACCCTGGGGTCCCGCGGGGGGGGCTCCTCTCCTCCTCTCGGTGCGTGACGGGGGCGCCCCTCTCCCCCCCCGGAGGGGGTCTGCTTCCCTCCCCGACCCTGGGGTCCCGCGGGGGGGGCTCCTCTCCTCCTCTCGGTGCGTGACGGGGGCGCCCCTCTCCCCCCCCGGAGGGGGTCTGCTTCCCTCCCCGACCCTGGGGTCCCGCGGGGGGGGGCTCCTCTCCTCCTCTCGGTGCGTGACGGGGGCGCCCCTCTCCCCCCCGCCCAGGAGCTGAAGGGCTTCGCCTCCCTGGATGACCTGCTGCGCGTCAAGGGGATCACGGCGCGGATCCTGGAGCTGAACAGCCAGCGGATGACCTGCTCGCCGGAGCCCGCCTGCCCGGCGCCGTCCTCCTCGTCTCCGGCGCCCGAGGTGGGCTTGGCCGGGGCGACCTTGGCCCGCGTCTCCGGGGCGGGCGGGGGGCGGGCGGCAGAAAGCCGGGCGGGGGGCGGGGGGCAGCTGGGCCGAGGCTCGCTGACCCCCGCGGCCCGCTTCCCCCCGCAGGCTCCGGACGAGGAGGCGGGTCAGTCGCCGCCGCCGCGTCCCGGGCAGCGGGAGAGCTGGGCGCCGGCCTGCTTGGCAACGGCCGAGGCGGAGGAGGAGGAGCCGGGCAGCTCCTGCCCGCCGGGGGCTCCCGACTCCGAGGACGAGACGAGCGGCGGCGGCAGCAGCAGCGATGGCGAGGAGAGCGGCGGCGGCGACGTCTACTTCTACTACACGGTGGACGAGCGCTGGATCGACTACCTGGAGCGGACGGAGGGCGGCGGCCTCATCCGGCACACGCGGCCCAAGGTGAAGAAGGGGCTGCGGGGGAGAGAAGGGGAAGAATGGGAAGGAGGCTGCCCGGGATGGGCCAGATCCAGCAGACGCTTCTCCTCTTCGGAAGCTGCCTGGGGAAAGGAGCCCAGAGAAAGGACGGGGGATCTGGGGTGCAGCAGCAGCAGCAGCTGAGAGTGTCCATGCCAGGCGGCTGTGCCAGTTTTCGGTTTGTCTTCTCTTTGGCCCAGGGAGGCTGGCAGGAGGGGAGGGTGAGGCTGGCCAGGACCTTCAGCCACCATGGGTAAGCATGCTCTGCCCTGCACAGTGGGAGGCAGCGATGCCTCTGAAAACCAGATGCTGGACAGGTGACCAGGGGTGGGGGGAGTGTTGTTCTTGGGCACAGATTGTGCCTGGGGGTTTCCATAATGGGCATCTGGTTGGCCACTGTGGGGACAGAGGGCTGGACTGGACGGGCTTTCTGATCAGCAAGCCCAAGAGGGTCGGTGTGGTTTAGACCACACTCCCATTCACATCCCTTTTTGAATCTGCACAATGGGGTGAGCTCCTGTTGCTTTGTCCCAGATTCTGCCAACCTAGCAGTTTGAGAGCATGCCAGTGCAAGTACATAAATTGGTACTTCTGTGACAGGAAGGTAAATGGCATTTCTGTGCGCTCTGATTTCCGTCACTGTGTTCAGTTGCGCCAGAAGCAGTTTAGTCCTGCTGGCCACATGACCTGGAAAAACTGTCTGCACTCCCTCAGGGTGAAGCGAGATGAGCACAGCACCCCATCGTCACCTTTGACTGGACTTAAACTGGGGTCCTTTACCTTCACTTGATGGGCCGTTGGCCTCACCCAGCAGGCTCTTGTGATTCTCGGGTGTGTTCTGGCCATCAAGGCTCCAAGGAAGAAAGGCAAAAGCTGTCAGGTGGGGAGAGGGCTGCTGCGTGCTGCATCTTTATTCCCCACCTCCTGCCCTTACGAGGTTGTTGTCCCAAAGCACAGTTTGTAGATCTGTGTTCTGAGAGAAAGTGTTCAACCTTCCAGTCTTTTGGGGAGGCATGGGGGCCCTGGCATAGCTGCTGTGCGGTGGAGGCAGCAAGAAGGGTCCCCACTTGACCTGATGCGGCGCTGTGCATCAGGAGGGTGCTGCGTGCATTGCATAGCTTGCCTTCTTGCGGAGCTGAAGGGTTTCCTGGATCCGTGTGACTCCATTCCGCCCCATCTCTTTGCATTGCAGATGAAGCGCAAGTCAGAGAGCGGCCCGGATGGCAGAGCCCAGTCGCCTGGCAAGAAGCTGTGCAAGGGCTCAGAGAGGGGCAGGTGAGGAGGTGGCGGGTGGCGCTTGGGAGCTCCTGCAAGGTGCCGGGGGAGACAGGGGGTCTGTCTCCAGCAGGACTCTTGGCTTGGGCCCATGGCATTCTCCTGACATACTTGCTTCCTCTCCAGAGTGCTGGGCCCCTGTGTCGCTAGCCCCACGGCCACCTTTGGGGATTTGCGGAACGCCAAGGCAGGCCAGGCGCGCTGCCGGCATGTCCCCCCAATGACCCCACCCCCTGAGCTGCAGGACTGGCTGCGCACTTTCCAGGTGAGCCTGTCTGTGTGTGATGCATGAGGCCCTCGGCTGGAGGCAGAGCAGGGCTGCGCTTTCTGGCTGGCTTGCAGCTGACCTTCTGACATTCGGCAAAGGCCTTTTCCCACGAGCCGGGCATTTGGCAGATGTTGTGCTGTGGTGTGTTTCTCATTTCCTAGTTTGTTTTAGGGGTTTGATCTTAAAAGTGAGCTGATGCATTGGTGGTGTTTCGACATTTAGAAAGCTACAAAGCTTTTGCTTTGATTGCTTGGATGGGCTGCTTTGTGGCCTTGGTTCTGACCCAGAGACGGGCTGCAATCCTGGGTTTTGCGCTTGATCTCCCCTTACTCCTTTTTCCCGCCAGCGCTGGAGCGGCCCAGAGAAGCTGCTGGCTCTGGATGAGCTCATTGACCGCTGTGAGCCTCCTCAGATCAAGCACATGATGCAAGTGATTGAGCCCCAATTCCAGCGCGATTTCATCTCACTGCTGCCCAAAGAGGTGAGTGTCTTGTGGGTGGGGGACCTTGGAGGAAGAATGCAGGGCAGCCGAAAGAGGACAGTGGGGAGTTGTTGGCTGAAGGTGTTGGTGGAAGAATGAGCCTGCAGGGTGTTGTTAGAAAGCCTTGAGCAACAGGTCAGGAGATCAGAATCTGAGCCACAGTCAAGGGGGCACGATAGGTAGTTGTAAAAGAAGCGAAGAAGTGTGCATGCACACAGAAGCTTATACCAGAACAAACTTAGTTGGTCTATAAGGCGGTATTGGATGAATTTTTTTTTAAAAAATTTTTCCGACTGCGTTAGACCAACACGGCTACCTACCTGTGTCTAAAACAAATAAGAGTCAGAACTATTCATACCAGCTACACATTTTTAAAATGTGCATGAAAACTCACAGGAAAACTCACAGGATGAAGTAACAGAGAGAAACGGGAAGAGGAGAACTTTATCTGAAGTGCAAATGCGGCGCCAGCAGGAAAATTGAGTAGAGCCAGTTGCTTTAGCAGGAGATGAGACACATCAGAGAAGGAGCTATTTGATTTGATTACAAGGCCTTGGGAAACTTTTAAGGGCAAGAATCAAAGTTATCGGAGAACCTGAAGGCCTGGTGAGAAGCTAAGAGCCAGAGTTCAGTTCCTGCCAAAGAGGAGACGGGCAAGGGAAGGAGCAGCAGCAGCAGAGGGCGTTGCAAGAGGGAGGAAGAACGAATCAGCCCCAGAGAGGGAGGGTAGGAGAGAGCCTGGCCAAGAGCAAGCGGCAGGGGTCCCAGGCCTTGTCTCTCCAGGGCAGCTGCTCAATGTGCAGCAGAAAGTGATGGAGAAGAGGAAGTGGGTGGGTGGTAATTGGGCAGGGAAATCAGGCCTCTGGGATCCAAAAGATTTCTGGGTGCTAAGGCAAAAGTCGGGCTTTATGCTCAAATTAGGCTTTAAAATGTAAACAGATGCAGAGTACAAAATCTTGGTTTTTTGAAAGTGATTGTTAAATGGTTTTTAATGGTGTTGTCATAAGTGGCAGATGGGCTGAACACTTTCAGTCAAAAGCTCCTTTTTCTTAATTTTTAAATATACAAACTTTAAGGGGAGGCTGTCAAAGATGTCAAGGGAGAGAAGAGACAGCGATCAATGGATTTAGCTCGCTTGAACGTCCGCATACATGAGCTAATGTAACGGACGCTCTCTCCCTGCCTCTCCAGGCCAAAGCAGAACTTCCCTTGTGAGGTGCAGGCTACCATTTTTAGAGCAAAAGTTGTGTCATAGGGAGCCCTCTGTAAGGCATCCGAGGAAAGCCAAATCAGACGGGAGTGGCAAGGAGGACAATAAGAAATGGCAGGAGGATGCTGGGAGGGCAAGAGATTGGCCCAGATGGTCAGGACAGGGAGCTCAGCCGCAGACTCTGTGCTGGATTGGAAAGGCAGGAGAGGCCTTGTGGGCTGTGAAGCAGTTTGGGATTGCGTGGCCACAGTGGCCCTGACAGCTGCTGTGTGGACCACAGGCTCTGATCCAGCTCTCTTCTTGGAGGAGCATTGGACGGCTGCTTCAGAAGTTCGGCTGGTGAGGGTGGAAGGTCATCTAGATGGCAAAGTCTCCACATTGCTGTGGTGGACGTGAGAAGCTGCCCATGGCTGGCTTGCCATTTGCACCCAGGGAGGCCTTTCACGGGAAGAAATCTTGTCCCTTTTGCAGTTGGCGCTCTATGTGCTCTCGTTCCTGGAGCCGCGGGACCTGCTCCGGGCGGCGCAGACCTGTCGCTACTGGCGGATTTTGGCCGAGGACAACCTGTTGTGGCGGGAGAAGTGCCGCGATGCAGGTGAGGCTCAGCTCCTGCCCGGTGTTCTTCCCGGCTGCCCTTGGGCCTCCTCCCTGTCACAGCCGCTTCTGCCTCCTGCAGGTATCGAGGAGCCCCTGAGTCTGCGCAAGCGCCGGCTGCTCAGCCCAGGCTTCATGTACAGCCCCTGGAAACTGGCCTTCCTGCGGCAGCACCGAATCGACATGAACTGGCGTGGCGGGGATGCCCGCCCCCCCAAGGTAGGGGACCTCCCTTGACCCCCACCATTGGGGTGGCGTGGTGCGGGGTTTACGCACCTCGTCATGGGCTAAGATGCTACTCTGGGGTGGCTGCACGATGGGGACCAAAGAGCAGGCTCTGGAGGAAGAGCAACCCAATGCCTGAGTGCCCAGCTGGGTCCCAGTCCCTGTCCTATACCAGGCAGGGGCCAGGGCTTAGTGGTGGGCTGGGACAGACATGGGCCCCATACTCTTGAGAGCTGCTGCTGAGCTAGGTGGACCAGGCAAGCACCTTTGACTTCTGGCAAAGAAGATCCAGAAGGTACAATTGTTCTGGCTATTCACAAATGCGGGATGGGGGGGGGTGGGAGAGACTTGGTTGCTCCTTGAATTCGGGCTGTCACTGTGGCTGAACCTCCAGCCCTTGCTGAATTTGACGTCCGCCTGCTTGATGCCAGCTCCTGACCGCTGGGCCTGGTCTCAAGCCTTGGAGAACTCAAGGCCACTGGGCTTGGGGAGGAAGCCGCCCCTTCCCTCAACCGCAGAAAGGGGGTGCAGGGTGATGCCGGCTGGCCTGCTAATTCTCTCCCTGGACCAGGTTCTGAAGGGCCACGATGACCATGTCATCACCTGCCTCCAGTTTTGTGGCAACCGCATTGTGAGCGGCTCAGATGACAACACGCTCAAGGTGTGGTCGGCTGTCACCGGGGAGGTGAGTCTGGGAAATGGTCTGTGGGCGGGGCTGGCTGTGGCTCCGCCTTCCCTGGCTCTGAGCATCTTCCTCCTCCTCCTCCTGCAGTGCGTTCAGACCCTGGTGGGGCACACGGGGGGCGTCTGGTCCTCCCAGATGAGGGACAACATCGTCATCAGCGGCTCAACAGACCGCACCCTCAAGGTGTGGAACGCGGACACGGGCGAGTGCGTGCACACCCTCTACGGGCACACCTCCACCGTGCGCTGCATGCACCTCCACGGCAGCAGGTAGGTTGGGGGGGGGAAGTCGCTCCAGGGACCCCTCCTGCCCCTCCTGCCTGGGACTCAAGCTGCTTGTCTCTCCTCCCTTGGCAGGGTGGTGAGTGGGTCCCGGGACGCCACCCTCCGCCTCTGGGACATCGAGACAGGGCAGTGCCTGCACGTGCTGATGGGCCACGTGGCCGCCGTCCGCTGCGTCCAGTACGACGGGCACAAGGTGGTGAGTGGCGCCTACGACTACACGGTCAAGGTCTGGGACCCCGAGACGGAGAGCTGCATCCACACCTTGCAAGGCCACACCAATCGCGTCTACTCCCTGCAGGTGAGGGACCCCGACCCCTTCCCTCCCCACCCCCCGAGTCGCACAGCCCCTCACTCCTCCCACCCCTCTCTTGCGCAGTTTGATGGGACCCACATTGTGAGCGGCTCCCTGGACACCTCGATCCGCGTGTGGGACGCCGAGAGCGGCAACTGCCTGCACACGTTGATGGGGCACCAGTCCCTGACCAGCGGCATGGAGCTGCGCGACAACATCCTGGTCTCTGGCAACGCCGACTCCACGGTCAAGATCTGGGACATCAAGACGGGCCAGTGTCTGCAGACCTTGCAAGGTGGGTGCTGCGGGCAGCTGGCTGGGCTGCAGGGACCTGAAACTCCCCATCGGCCCTCACAAAGGCTTTTCTCCCTCTGGGCAGAGGCCTGCCACCAGGGGCGTCCTCCAGGAAGGGGCGGCTGGGCACTTGTGGCTGGGCAAGGCAGCTGATGGCTGCCCCTCACCTTCTTTGCCCCCCTTCTGCAGGTCCCAGCAAGCACCAGAGTGCTGTCACCTGCCTCCAGTTCAGCTCCAAGTTTGTGGTGACCAGCTCGGACGACGGCACCGTCAAGCTGTGGGACCTCAAGACGGGCGAGTTTGTGCGCAACCTGGTGGCGCTGGAGAGTGGCGGCAGCGGGGGGGTGGTCTGGCGCATCCGGGCCTCCAACACAAAGCTGGTGTGTGCCGTGGGGAGCCGCAACGGGACTGAGGAGACCAAGCTCCTTGTTTTGGATTTTGACGTGGACCTGAAATGAGGAGGAGGGCTGGACTGGCAGGGGGGCCTGCGGGACGGGCATCCCCCCAGGCGTGAGTGAGTGGTGCCTGGCCGCGCACCTTATTTATAGCTTGGCTGCAGGGCCCTGGGCGGCTGGCAGAGCGGCAGAGCACCCAAGTCTGCTTTTTGTACACACTAATAATATATCACTTTATTTCTGTACATGGCTTTCTCTGTGTCATGTGGGTTAAGCCTGGGAGGGGGGCGGGGGCTGTCCTGGGGAGGGGGCTCTGGGGGAGGGGGCAGGGCGCTGCCTTTGCCCCGTGCTGCTGTCCCCCTCCCAGCGCAGGAGGCTGACGGCGTGGACACGCTGCTGGAGGCACAGCTGAGGGGCCATCTTGGAAGGCAGGCTCAGGTGCAGGATGACGTGCTGGCTGCCCAGCGCCACGGGGACCTCGGGGACCCCCAGGTAGACGGGGCACAGGAACTTGTTGGCTGGGAGCTTGGGGCTGGTGTCAGCGGAGGCCATGTCCCAGGTCAGGCGGGCGGCCTGGATCCAGATGGTGGGCAGCGGGCAGGGCTCGGCCGTGCGGCTCTCCTGCAGCAGCCCACCGTGGGCCTTCCAGAAGGCATGGCGCAGCTCCAGCCCGCTCAGATAGATGCCTTTCTCGGGGGCGCTGGTGGGGGGTGGCCCACTGGGAAGGACCTGGCAAAGGAAGGCAAGAGGGAGGGGAAAGGGGGCGCTCAGGGACCAGGGCTGCGGGGCCTGCCCCTGTGCCCACCCCCATGCCCGCCCGCCCGCCCTCTCCTCCCTACCTGCTGGTGCAGCTGGTAGCGGTGAAGCTCCTGCCTCTCCACGCGAGCCCTCTCTTGCAGCACGGCCAGGAGGAGGCGGCGGGGCTGGTGGAAGGCGGCCAGCTGGTAGTGGGCCACGAGCGGCCCGCTGATGGAGCCCAGGTAGCTGCACAGGAGCTGGGCCCGCTGCTTGAGCGTCTGCAGCCAGGCCGGGGGGGCCTGGGGGCCGGTGAGGGCGTAGGGCAGCCAGGGGCTGGGCAGGCGGCCCTGCTTCAGGTGGTAGAGGATGGTGCTGCAGCGGCGGGAGGAGCAGGGCTCCCCCTGCAGGTGCTCCTGGGCGCAGCAGAGGTCGCGGCCCACCTGCTTCAGCAGGGCCAGGAGGATGCCCGCCTCCTCCAGCAGGAAGCGCTGGAGGGGGCGCGGCCGGGGGCGGGCCTGCCCTTGCGGGGGGCACCCCTTCCAGCCCACCTCCCAGCCGCACTCGCTCAGCTGCTCCTGCAGCGCCTGCACCAGCTGGATCCCGTCCCGCAGCAGCTGCTCCAGGGCGCCTGTGTGCGGGCGGCAGGGGGCCCGGCGGGGCTGCCACAGGCCCTGGGAGGCCTGCAAGGCCACCAGCAAGGCCTGGCTCCGCTCCGCCAGCATCCGCTGCTGCAGCGCGCTGCACAGGCCGACCCCGGCAGGCTCCATGGGGCTGGGCAGCTGCTCGATGCCGGCCTGGGTGGCGGCGGCCGCCTCCTCATCCGTGTTCCCTACAGGGTGCAAGGAAAGGGAGGGGGATCAGCAGAGCACCCAGCGCCCCACCGGCAGGCTCTTCCCTGCCCTCTCCAAAGACATTAGCCACTTCATGAAGGGCCCCACAATGGCCACCCACTGCCGCCACAGCCGGAGGAAGCAAGGCTTCCAAATACCCCTTGCCGGAAACCGCAGGCGGGGAGGGTGTTGCTCTTGTGCTTGAGTCCCGCTTGCCGGACCCAGACGGCTCTTCTGATCTTCTCTCACCTGGGTTGGGGCAGCCGACGACTGTGGCCACGAGCTGCTGGAGGCTGGAGGCTGGCTGCAGGGGGGAGGCAGGAGCCAAGCAGGCCTGGCAGAGGCTCTGTACCACTTGGGCATCACCGCTGTCCAGGATGTGGCCCCCGTAGAGCATGGTCCCTGCAGAGGCACAAGAGCCAGCCGTGTTTCGGAGGGGGCCTTCACGGCCTTGGCTCCTGCAGGCTGCCCCCTTGAACCCCTCACTCAGCCCTGTTTCCATACCGGCCAGCTCCTGCAGGGCTTCCTGGGCTCCGTCTGTTAGGCAGCTCAGCCTCTCCTGGATTCTGAGCCCGGCCAACACTTCCCCGTGGCTCCTGCAAGGGCAGCACAATCTCAGGCACAGGGCAGAGTCAGAGCAAAAACCACACTCCTGGCTTGGCCCGGGGGGGGGGGCCTGCTCCCAACTTTCTTATGGGTCTCAGCAGCTGAGAGGAAGAGCCCTTGGACAGTGGAATAGAAGACCTGGGCAGGGGACGGGCCTCTCCTTCAGTGAAGGATTTTAGGCAGGAGTCTTTAGCTGTGATTCCCGCATTGCAGGAGCTTGGACTAAAGGACCCTTGGGGCGCCCCTACAATTCTGGTTCTCTGAAAGATTCTTGGGTAAACTTCATTTTGGGATCGGTGAGAAACAGGTTAAGAAACAGGAAGTAAGAATAAATAGGTGGTTCTCCCAATTGTGGGATGTACAAAGTATTCCAGTGTGGCGGCCATGAAAAAGGAAATTTGCATGCGAGGGATCAGTAGGAAAGGAATTGAGAATAAAACTGCCAGTATCATCATGCCGTTTCAGGAATCTGGTGTGTGCCCACATTTGAAGAACTATATACAGCTCTGGGCACCTCCTCTCCCCTCAAAAAGGTTATTGCAGAGTCGGAAAAGATTCAGGAGGGGCCCCCTGAGGGGGTGGAGCGACTCCATTACAAGGAAAGGGGGCAGCATTTGGGACCTTTTAGTTCAATAAGTGAGGGGCAACATGGCACACGGTAAGTGGAAAGGGAAAAACTTTCTCCCTCCCCCATAACCCTCAAACTCGTGGATGTCCAATGAAGCTGAATGTCAGAAGATTCAGGGCAGATGGAAGAAAGTTCTTCCTGCAGCACAGAGCCAGACGATGGCCCTTGCTCTCGCAGGAGGCAATGACGGCCGCCATCTCTAAAGAGGAGCCACAACGGCAATCCTCTTCCTCCACCATTGGGGGAGCTGCTGGAAACCGCACGAGGGGAGAGGGCTCTGGGGCTCCTGTTCTGCCTCTGGTTGGCCACGTGAGAACCGGAGGCTGGGCTAGATGGCCTGATCCAGGTGGCGGCTCTTACACCCTCTGTGCTGTGCAGGAGCTGATGCTGGGACCTGTGCTTTTTAACGTTTTTTGTGAGGGTTGTGTGAGCAGTAAGGTTCCCAGGTTTGCTGTTGATACGAAATTGTTCAGGGTGATTAAACTCCAGCGGGATTATGAGGAACTCCAAAGGGATCTGGTCAAAGGGGCTATCAAAATGGCAAATGCAATTCAACACAAGGAAAAGTGATGTAAGGTCAAGGGACCCCTTACCATTAGGTCCAGTTGCGGACAACTCGGGGGTTGTGGCGCTCATCTTGCTTTATTGCAAATGCAATACAGCTCAAGGAAAAGTGATGTACTTTGGGGCAAAAGAAACCCCTAACAAGTGGGGTCTGGACTGCTGTGGCCAACGCAGGAATGAGCTCATGGGGTCCCTTCCTGCTCAGGACCTTCTTGGTTGGTCACTGTGAGAACAGAAGGCTGACTAGATGGAGCCCCTTTGGCCTGATCCGGCTGCTGCAGGACTCCTTAGGCTCATCCTACTTGGCAGCTTCCATGGGTGCGTCCCGGGTACCCTCCAGTTCAGCTGCTCTGGGGAGCCCTGTTGAATTCTGTGAGGTAAGGGGTCTTCCTCCTGCTGCTGCCAGAAAGGGCCCTCAGCCTTTCTCTGGCTGCCTGTCAGCTGGGAGATCCAAGCCCTCATCCGCTGCTGCTGCTGCTTCCCACTCTGCTCCCCCCCCTTGCAGCCAGCAGCCCCCTCTGTGGCAACCCTGTGGGCAAGGACTGGTTTGTTAGCCCACACAGGCAGCTCCAAGAGCAGGGGAAGAATGGGGAGCCCACAGGTGGAGATTCAGGGTGCTTTCCAAGTAGCATAAAGCAGAGGAGGAGTTTCCAAGATCCCATGAGATGTACTGGCAGGCCCTTTGCCTCGCTGCTGGACAGGGCGAGCGCCTCCTTCACTCACCACAGGTATGTCTCTGCCTGGGTCCACTGGGCATAGGTCTGCCTGTAGAGCAGGACCCCATAGAGGGCGAGGAGGGGCAGCCGCTGCTCTGTGTCTAGGTTCTGGGTTCGCCCCTGCAGCCAGTAGTGGCTGCGTGCCAGGATGCCCTTCAGCTCCAGTGGCATATCGCAGAAGAGGGAGGTGGCACTGCGCTTCAGGAGTTCTGTTGGCACAGAAGAGAATCAACCACCACAGCAGAGGCCGGGAGGGACAGTAAGGACAGCAGCCGAGGCCATGAGAAGTTGCTCAGCTTCTGTTTCTCCCGCAGAGGCAGGCGGAAGGCCCTGTGGCAGAGCCCAGACGACAATGAGCAAGAGGGAGCGGGGCCCTGGGAGAGAGAGATGCCAAGGGGGGCAGTGCGCCTCTTTCCCCAAGGGGTAGGCAGGGTGTGGAGAAGCCCCTCTGGCCGTGCCCCCCTGCGGCATCAGCCTCCCTCCCTCCTCCCTGGCCTGGTACCTGGCATGGAATGAGGGGCGTCCGCTGCAGTGATGAGCCACAGGCGGAACTTGGTGTGGATCTCGAGGCCTCCCCCGGGCGCCTTGCCTGTGCCAAAAGAGGGCAAGGTGAGAGGGGCTCTGGCCGGGGGGGGGGGGGAGACACCTCCCGCTGCTTCCATCCGCCTCACCTGAGGATTTCACCAACTGGTCCAGCAGCTGCAGCAGGTCGGGGTCCCAGTGCTCCTGGAGGTGGCAGTTGGTCAAGACCAGCCACTTGCCTCTCTTGCTGCAGATGGGCAGCGTCCGCCAAACCCGCTTGCAGGCATCTGGGGTGCCAAAGGAGATGACTACCACACTTCCCTGCGGGGTGGGGCCTGGTTACTTGCTCTGTCCTCCCAGAGGGACCCACTGCCCCTTCCCCTCCTTGTGCCCAGCTCACCCCTCGTCCCCGCTGGGTGGCCATCTGCTGGATCCAGAGGAGCGGGTGCATGAAGCAGCCTGGTGAGCGGGCCGAGGGCGTGTGGAAGATGATGGGCTTGTTGGCCCGGCTGTAGGAGTAGGGGTAGGTGATGGCCATTTCCTCGGTGAGAGACCAGCCCAGCGAGCAGGTGGTGAGGGCCGAGACCACGCTGCTCATGGCAGAGGGACACAAGATGCGCCACAGGATGGCGCGCTGGAAAGGCCTGAGGTGGGCGTGGCTGGGACACAGGGCCAGCCCCACCATGGTGGAGCGCAGGCGGAAGTACTCCTGCCACTGGGCGGCCTGCCCAGCCAGGGAGGCCTGCAGCCCCTGGAAGCCAGGAACGTTCTCCAGCAAGCCGCACTCCTCCCAGGCCTCCGCGCTCACCCAGCTGGGGCGAGGCACCCCGGCCGGCGGCTGCAGAAGCTCCTTGGCCACCGGTTCCCGCAGGCCCTGGCAGAAGGCCAGCCATTCCAGCGGGGTGACCTCCCCCGAGACCTTCAGCGTGGCCACGGCCCCCAGGAAGAGGTAGAGGAGGCGGTCCATCTCCCGCAGGCAGGGCACCGCCTCGGTGAGGCATTGGTGGAGCACGGCCTTGCTGAGCTCCAGGAGGCGCGACTCCAGCGACTCCTGCTTGGTGGTCTCCTGCCGCTTGGTGGAGAGCAGGGCCTGGCGCACGCGGGCCATGCAGACGCTGCTGGGGAAGCTGTAGGAGGGGTGGAGGCGGCAGACCTGCTGCAGGGCCAGGTGTAGGGCCACGCCCAGGCGGGGCACCATCCGGTACTTGCTGCACAGCGCCGCCTGGTCCTGGTGCTGGGAGACCATGTGCTGGTGGGTGGCGTGCAGGGCCTGGATCTGCGTCTGCAGCAGCCGCACCATCGGCATGAAGTTCTCCTCCTCCAGCAGAGAGCGCTGCGGCTGGGCAATCAGGGCCACCAGCTCCTCCTGCGGGGAAGGGCCACGGGGCTGGGCTGAGTGGCCTCTCCACCGCCAAGCCACAGGAGCCCCTGCCTCCAGCTCCTCCTGCGGGGAAGGGCCACGGGGCTGGGCTTAGCGGCCTCTCCACGGCCGCCCCACGCCAAGCCACAGGAGCCACTGCCTCACCTCCGTGGCCTCCAGCTTCCCCTCCAGCTGCAGGATCCCAAACTGCAAGGCCTGCTGGTTCTTCAGGATCTCCTTCCGCTCGGCCCGCAGGACCTCCACCAGCAGCAGCTCCTCCAGCGCCTCCTGGCTGAGGCTGAGGTCAATCACGTTCAGGCTCTTGAGCAGCTCGTGGTCCACCTCTGCAAAGAGGAGCCAGGCGGGAGGCAGGGCCCAGCCGTCCCAGTCACCCACCTGCCTGCCACTCTCCGCCGATGGCTGGCTGCGGGGTGGAGGCACCTGTGGCTCTTGTCCCCCCCCCCCACTTTGGGGAACCCAAGTAGGTCGCTGCCGTGCTTTGACAGCGCAGCTTCCAATGCTGGGCGAGAGATCTGCTGACTCTAGCTTTGCTTCCACCCGCAGCAACTGGGAGTTTCCAAAGCCTCTCGCCCTCTCTGAGAGGGGAGCGGAAGATGGCTCTCAGGGCGAGCAGCCTCCACCCACCTCCGCTCCCTGGGGAGGGATTCCACAGGTGAGAGCCAGGAGGGCACTTGGGCACCTCCCTTACCTGCAGCCAAAGCCTCCAGAGGCAGCTCAGTGTACAGGTAGAGGCGGAAGCAAGGGGGCACCTGCGCCAGGTCCTCCACTGACTTTGAGTGGAGGGCACCTCCGAACGATTCCTTCTGCATCAGCTCCTCGAGGGCTGGGCACCAGGGGACGTTCTTTTCAAAGTCCGTCAGCAACACAGGGGTGCCTGTGAGGAGGTGGGAGTCAAGCAGCACATTTGCCTGAGCTCCCGGAGGTGCCGGTGAAAGAGAACGGCACCCTCCCCGGGGGCTGCCAGCGGCAGGGGCACCAGCTTCCTCACCAAGGCCGGCTGCTTTGCAGAGGTTCTGCTCCAGGTCTGGGTCTGTGAGCGACAGGACCTCCAGGTTGTCTTCCGCGATCTCTATGGAGCTGCCCTGCTCCACCATGTCCGGCACCAGGTCAGAGATGGCATAGACCTGAGAATCCGCTGTAAAGAGGGGTTGGATGAGAAGCTACCCGCAGGCAAGGCCATGTGCCTGACCCCCCCCCCCCGCACACCCCACTCACCCTCTTCCATAGCTCTGGATGTCAGCAGCCAGAGATAGGCCTGCTTGTCGGGGTCCACCAGCAGAGGCCAGCGGTGAGCCTGCGAGTGGATGCTGGAGAGCAGGATCATGCCGGCCAGGCGGCTGCTGGGGACCTTGGGCTTGTGGACTCGATCCCAGAGACGCTGCTCTGGAGGAGAGCTGAGCAGGGAGGCCAGGTGCAGGGGCTGTTGCACAGCCAGCAGCAGACCGCTGTGGGAGGCTGGGCCAGGACAGGGCAGCTCCTTCTGCAGGAGCCGCCTCACGTCGTCTGGCCCGAGGGGGCCCCAAGCCCCGGCACACACCGCCTGCCACTTTTCCAGCAGCTCCTCCCGCCGCTGCGGAGGGAATGGGCCCAGGTAGGAGAGGCTGGCTGCGGAGAGGAGGGCATCGCCATAGAGTGTTGTGCGCTGGGATTCCAGGTTCTAGGAAGGAAAGCAGAGGCGCCAGAGGGCTGAGTCTGGGAGAACGGCACCCTCGCCTCGCAGGGCACGGGGGGACGGGACATGGGTGGACAGCCGCCCACCCCTCTTACCCTTGTGACAGTTGTCCAGCTGGCCATGTGCTCGGCCACGGAGCTCTCGACGGTGGTGGCCTCCTCTTTGGCATGCAGGGATTGGGTGAGCTGGTGCATCAGCTTCTCCTGGCGCTCCTGCTTCTGCTTCAGCTCCTTGATGCGCTGCTGGGTGGCATCTCTCAGGTATTCCGAGTGCAGGCGCCGGTCGCCCAGCTCCACCTTCTCTGCGTTGATCTGGGCGTCGCAGTACTTTAGCCGTGCGATGGTCGGCTGCCAGTCGAGCAGGGCCCAGTGGTACCAGTAGGTGGCCGAGATCCACTGGAAGAGGGCGGCAGCAGCCTGGCTGGCGCTGGATATGCTGTTCTCAGAGATGCGCTCGTGAGTCACAGCCCGGCCCAGGGCCTCAAAGAGCTCTGTGGTGAGGCTGTCCTTGGGGTAGAAGACAAGATCCTGGAGGGGCAAGCAGAGGGAGGGAATGGGACCCTGGCCTGGCTTTTTCACCAAGGAATGAGGTGCAAGAAACACTAGGCTGCTTGTATTAAAATGCCCCAAGCTAAAACAACCGGTTGCTTACCATGAAGATGGGCCAAAGGGGAGCACCTTCTCCAGCAGTTCCAGAAGCACCCAGGGGACTGAGGGGGTCTTCCAGCCTGTCCACCTCACCAGCTCCTGCACATGGCCTCTCTGCCTGGCTTCCCTGCCCCTTTGGTCACAGAGCATGGGAGCCACTCCAGAGATGCCCAGGCCTGTGCAGAAGTGAGTTTTTTTGCCATTTCCCCTCCCATTCACCAAGTCTGGAGAGGCCCATTTGGAGCTCTTCACAGTCTCTACTTGTTTTAACAACTCTGAACAGTTTAGTATTGTCCGCAGACTTGGCCCACCCCACTGCTGAGCTCTAACTCTGAGTCGTTTGTGTGCAAGTTAAAAAGCTCGTGTCCCGATCCTTGGGGCACTCCACATTACACATGTGTTTGTTCAGAGAACAGACCATCTATTCTTACTCTTTGCTTCCTGTGATTTAACCAATTCCATCATCACAAGAGGACTTCTCCTCTTACTCCTTGACTGCTAAGCTTACTCAGGAGTCTTTGATGAGGGACTATATCAAAAGGTTTTTGAAGCTTTAAGTGCACAATGTTGACCGGATGAGCCCAATCTATATACTCTCAGCTAGACTCTCAGCTCCTGTGGGCTTCTCTGTTCTTGGGTGCAGCCCTCCTTGAAAACCAAACCATAGATATTAAACTCATCAAAAGAAATAAAGCAAATACCATGCAAAGAAGGAATTACTAACCAGAGATGTGTCAGCATTTACTGTTAACAATCAGCATGTATCAGAAAGCAACAGAAAGAAAAGAAATTAAAGACAAAAATGGTTCAACAGAAGTGACTGAACCTAACAGATATATCCAAAATACAGTCAGAATTGTTCTTGGTCTCTCTCATTTTCTTGCAGAGGAGGGGGAAGACCTCTGTTGCAACAGAAATATAAAGATCTGCCTTGCTTTCACTGGTTCCTGCCTCCATCCACTCTCCTCTGGTTGATCATGGCTTGAGGGGACTCAAGAGTCCCTTGGAGGAGCAAAAGGCCACTTTTTCTACAACCCTCGAGGGATAATTTTATATATACAGTATAATGTCTTCCTTAAGGATATTTCCCATGCTTCGTGAGGACTGCAGCAGTGATGTGTTTGCAGTATCTCTCTTGTGCTCAATTACTTTCCTGCTCTCTTACTGCAGCTGATGGTTTCAGCTTTTATCCACTGGTAGTTCCATGCTAATCAAATCCACATTTGCTGTTTCGCTAGCTATGCCTCCCCACCCCCTCCCAGGAGGAAAGAGGCTGCTTTTGCCCCTCCCTTTGTCAAGGACTTGGCGCAGCTGGAACAGCCTCTTGGTCTAGGCTAGGGTCTCTCTCTCCCCAGGCGGGCCGGTCCAGAGGGGAAGTGGGGCCTTGAGGCTCTGGCTGCTGGGCCAACCCCAAGAGGAAGGGCTCTGGGCCTCACCTCATAGAAGTTGTCCCTGTTGAGGAGCAGCTTTGCATTCTCCCAGCCCGGCTCCTGCTCAAACATCAGGCAGAGGATGTCCGTCACCATGACCACAGCCTCTGGCGGCTGGCGATAGCTGCGCAGCTCCTCAACGTCCTGCACCCGCAGCATGGCCAGGGCCTCCTTGTAGTCCTTGTTCACCTGAGAAGAGAAGGGTCACTCTGGGATGAGGGGGCAAGGGCCTTCAGGCTGGGCTCTCCTCACCTGCCCCCTCTGCCACACCTTCCCTCCAGGTGGCAGCTGCAGGAGGGCCTGGTGACTGAGCAAGACCTTCCTCCCCCCCACATGGCCCCATACCTTCCTCATGGCCAGCTCCCTCCCCTTCTCCAGAGCATCCCGCTCCTTGGTAAGGGCATCGATACGCGCTTCATACAGCTCACACTCCTTCTCCTGCTGCTTCAGCACCTCCTGCTCCCGCTCCACCTCCCGCTGACTGCAGATCACTTGCTGCAAGGCAAGGAGGATGGGTGGGGTGAAGGGAGACCACCCTAGAGCCACCAACCCCCTAAACCACAGCAGTATCTCCAGGACACCTGGCTGCCGCTGGCTCAGGCCGCATCCAGTCCAGCGACCAGTTCTCACTGTGGCCGGCTCTGGTGCTCCTTGTGGGAAGCGCACTGGCACGATGGGTGCCCAAAAGCCTCTCTCACACATAGCGGGGGGCAGCCTTCTCTGATGAGGTGCATCTGCCTCAGTTAGCACTAACTTAGAAGTGGGAGTTTAAAATATCCCTGTTCAGCCTAGCACTGAGGAAAATTCACTGTTTTAAAAATCTGTGTATTGCTTTTGATTGTTTTGCTATTGTTTGCTGTCCTGGGCTCCTTTGAGAGGAAGCGGGGAGGGAGAAATACCTAAGAAATGATCCACCACAACTTGGATTCTGGGCCCTCTGACACCAGAGAGACCGCGGCCATCCTCACGGGAAGACACACCTCTCGACTCTGGCCTTTGTCAGCTAAAGGATTTTGCTTTGTGGGACCCACCTTGCTTTTATATATTTAGATACTTATATACCACCAATTCATACGATAAAATATAAATTAACATCAAAGTCACTAGCCAATCAAATTCAAGCAGTTGCATAGGCTAGTCTGCATAAAAGAAGTCTCCAAGAGACACTTGGAAATCCAAAGCCAGAGTGCCTCCCACGTCTCTGCTGGAAGAGGGTGACTGGCAGCGCCGAATGCCCGACTCCTCAGGGAGGCCAGTTTGGCCCCTGCAAGACAGCAGACAACCAGCAGCATTCCTCCAGGTGACCTGCGATGGAGCTGGGACTCAAGGGCGGCTCGAGTTGTCAAGGGCTTCATATATTAACACAGGACCCTTCAACCTGACCCACGTGTGTGGGCAGACAGTGCAGATGCCCCTGTCAGCAGCCAGGATGCGACCTTCAGTGCTAGCTGGAGCTCACAGGCAACACCTCATTGCGGTAGTCCAGCGTGTGGGCTGTGGTGGTTGGATCATCCAGATATGGCTGCAGCTAGCTGGTCAGAGGCATTCCTAGCCTGTTGCTGGAGCCTCTACTGAAAAATGTACCCAGGAGTACCCCAAGCTATGTGTCTGCTCTTTCAGAGAGAGGGCAGCCCTGCCCAGAACAGGCAACTGATCTGTCTCCTGGGCATGGAAACCACCTTCCCACACAGCCTCTGTCTCCCCAAGATTCAAAACACCCCACATGCTGTGAGCCAGGTTTGCCCTCCACAATAGAATGGGATAAAAGACGATTTCCCCTTTCTTCCCGATTCCATTCTGAATATCCAAATCTTATTTACAAGCCTTGCCCTGTTCCCAGCTTCCTTTCAAATCCCTTTCCTGCAGTTCCTTCTGCTCCAGTAAATTGGTCAGTGCAACTGAGCTGCCAGCCCAGAAGAGGCTGCTCTGATGGAGAAGACTCTGTGGGCAGCCTCCCCTTGTGAAGACTTCCAGCTCTGCACAAAACCCATCTGGTGGGGAAAGGCAGCCCTCAGCAGACGCCTTGTCTTGCTCTGCTTCTGGGGCAAAATGGGCTTCAGCTGCTTTGTAGGAGCAGCTCTTAAGCCTTTTGAAGCAGGTCCTTCCCTTGCATATGGCGCCCAGTGAATCCCAGGTGCTTTATAAATGTCAAGCCAGCTGGGAGCTGAGAGTTTCAGGCAGGCACAGGACTGGCCGGCCTCACTCACCTCCTTGATCTTCACCAGCTTCTGCTGCAGGAAGCGCACGTCCCGCGTGTGCTCCTGCTGCTTCTTGCTCACTTCCCCCATCTTGTGCAGGGCCATCTTCATCCTGCAGGTGGGGAAAGCACCCCATGAGGAGGCACACAGAGGGGGTCTGGGGCACAGGACTCGGGGGTCCAACACCCACCCAGGTCTGTCAGTTAATCTGGTTGCCTGAAGTCCCTTCATAGGATGCCTAAGACAGATACGTGACGCCCTCTGAACCAGGGATGCCTACAGAGAAAGCAACTTGGGGGGCTACTTAAGTTCCTCCCAATGGGGTGAGGATGCAATCCTTAGTTCTTGGCTGATTGTCAGAAGGCAACTCTTGCTTCCCTTCAAGGGCTCCTCTCCATCCCTCCTGCACCCATGAACAAAGGTCTTTCAGGTAAACTCAGCTATCCTGTGAATCTAAGTCCAGCAAAATGCTAACAGATGGACCTTCTCCATCACCCTTCCTGGCCCTTTTTATTTATTAATGCATTTTTCAATATACATCATACAGTGGTACCTCGGGTTAAGTACTTAATTCATTCCGGAGGTCCATACTTAACCTGAAACTGTTCTTTTTTTAAAATGTTTTAAAGTTTTTATTGTTAAAATAATTCAACATTAATACACATATATTACAAACATACAAGCATACAAACATACATTTCATACAACATTCCTACATACCTACAACATACCTACACTCAATCCCACAGATAATTCCTTCTCCCATCACCATCCACCACCCCTCTGTTCTTAACCTGAAGCACCACTTTAGCTAATGGGGGCCTCCTGCTGCTGCTGCGCCGCTGGAGCACGATTTCTGTTCTCATCCTGAAGCAAAGTTCTTAACCTGAAGCACTATTTCTGGGTTAGCGGAGTCTGTAACCTGAAGCGTATGTAACCCGAGGCACCACTGTACATTCATATTTACATCCTATCAAATCCTGTATGGACTTCCCAACCTATCTTTCCTTGATGCCCTCTTACACATTCTTATGTTTGTGATACCTCCATTTATTATCTACTCCAAAGGTTTTCAACCTTCTTGGGTCCACAGCTCCCTTGACCAACTCCCTTCTTTCTGCGGCCCCCCTGTGGGGCTCAGGAGCCCAGTTGTGCCCCCCCCCTTGCCTGCAGAGCTGGCAGCCTCTCACCCTTTTGGAACCCCCTCCCTTGTGGAGTCTTCCCTCAGCCTCCACCCCCCCCCCCGGTCTCTGAGCCACCCCCCACAACCCACAGAGAGGCGCTTCCTCACACTGCCCCACAAGGGCCTTAGTGGCCAAAGCTGAACGGGAGGCCAGCACCTTGCCTTGGGAGGCAGCAGTGGCAGCGGCAAACACAAGGAAGGCCAGCGCAGCGCATGTGAAATATACCCGGAGTAGAGAGTGGATTTCATGCTCTTTATTCAGCTCATAGTGGTGAGGAGGAATGCAAGTTCCCCTAAAATATCTGCTTTATAACCATGATTTACCCAATGGGCTGCATGTGATTGGCTAATTCCGGGATTCTCCTGTAGGCCAATCAGGTTGTGGATTCACTTCCACCTGGAGCTGGATTGGGTGGCCCCTGCAGACCAATCATACTGCTGCATTGTTCCTAGGACCAATCAGACTGCTGCATTCTGAATCCTATTGTTCTAGGACCAATCAGACTGCTGCATTTTGGATCCTATTCAACTCAGCATATAACAGCCTGCCTGGCTGGCCTCCCACTTGTCTGTCCATTTCCAGCAACACGGGCTGGCGGGCTGGGCTCCTTCACCCACTTCAGCTTCTGGCAACCAGCATCCCCTGACCAACCAAAGGGACACCATTCCCCTGTAGCCATGCAAGCCTTTGGGAGGCAGAGATGTGAGGGGGCATCAGAAGAGGAAGGGAAGGAAAGAGGGGCAGAGGCCAGGGTTGCCCACAGCACCCCAACCATCATTCAAGGCACCCAGGGTGCTATGGCACAGGGGTTGGAAACCCCTGATTACTCTTTTCTCCTTCTATTCATAACCCTTACTTTTGTCTGCTGCTGCTCACATATTAATCACTGCTGGTAAATTAATCCTGATATCACATTGTTTTAAATATCCCTCAAATTGTTCCCACGCTTGTTACTATCTTTCCTTCTATATTTCTTATCTTGGCCCTTATGCTTGCTAGTTGGATATGTTCTATTACTTTAAGTAGCCATTGGTTCTTTGTCGGGACAGCTTTCTCTTTCCACATCTTAGCGTACAATATTCTTGCAGCATATTGAGTGTATTGTGCACTCAATACACTCAATATGCTGCTACACTCAATATGCCAGCAAGTTTGGAAAACTCAGCAGTGGCCAGAAGATTGGAGAAGATCAGTCTACATCCCAATCCCAAAGAAGGGCAGTGCCAAAGAATGCTCCAACTACCGCACAATTGCACTCATTTCACACACTAGCAAGGTTATGCTTAAAATTCTACAAGGCAGGCTCAAGCAGTATGTGGATCGAGAACTCCCAGAAGTGCAAGCTGGATTTAGAAGAGGCAGAGGAACCAGAGACCAAATGGCAAACATGCGCTGGATTATGGAGAAAGCTAGAGAGTTCCAGAAAGACATCTACTTCTGCTTCATTGACTATGCAAAAGCCTTTGACTGTGTCGACCACAGCAAACTATGGCAAGTTCTTAAAGAAATGGGAGTGCCTGATCACCTCATCTGTCTCCTGAGAAATCTCTATGTGGGACAAGAAGCTACAGTTAGAACTGGATATGGAACAACTGATTGGTTCAAAATTGGGAAAGGAGTATGACAAGGCTGTATACTGTCTCCCTGCTTATTTAACTTATATGCAGAATTCATCATGCGAAAGGCTGGACTGGATGAATCCCAAGCCAGAATTAAGATTGCCGGAAGAAATATCAACAAGCTCAGATATGCAGATGACACAACCTTGATGGCAGAAAGTGAGGAGGAATTAAAGAACCTCTTAATGAGGGTGAAAGAGGAGAGCACAAAATATGGTCTGAAGCTCAACATCAAAAAAACAAAGATCATGGCCACTGGTCCCATCACCTCCTGGCAAATAAAGGGGAAGAAATGGAGGAAGTAAGAGAGAGTCTACCACCTCCCAAGGGAGTCCATTCCACACAGTTCTGTCAGGAAGTTATTTCTGATTTTTAGTTGGAATCTCCTTTCTCATCACTTGAGGCCGTTGGTTCCAGTCCTGCCCTCCAGAGCAGGAGAAAACAAGCTTGTTCCCTCTTCCATGTGATAGCCCTTGAGATATTTAAGATGGCTATCATATCTCTCCCAGTCTCCTCTTTTTCAGACTAAAGATACCAAAATCTCTCAACCGCAGAATGCCACGGCGAGGCTCTTTACAGGGTCCTTGCCACAGGATCACATTCATCCAGTGCTTTACCAGCTGCACTGGCTCCCAGTGGAGTACAGGGTCAGGTTTAAGGTGCTGATTTCGATCTTTCAAGCCCTATGCGGCCTAGGACCCACGTACCTATGGGACTGCCTCTCCTGGTATGCCCTGCGGAGGACCTTAAGGTCCACAAATAACAACACTTTGGAGGGAGACTTCCGGTCGGCGCCAACGATTAATGGCGGATTTCCCTCCGAGCTCCGGAGGGAGTCTGCTCTGCGAGTTCGGGTCTGACCGCTACGGCGAAGCGGAGACCCCCAAAAATCACAGGCGCAGAAGCCTGTGAACAAGGAGAGTCGGTGGGCACCTTTTGCGCCCCCCCTTACTGCAAAGGAGCCTTTTTAAAGGCTCCGGAGTGGTAGCGGGTGTGTGGCGCAGTGCTGAGAGTCGCTACCCAGCCAGTGGAGTGAAGCCGCGTCGCCATGATCGGAGAGCGCCAATTCCTTCCTGAAATTTGGAACTGAAATTGACTACCCGTGAGTAGGACCTAAAGGTTTATTGGGATCTACAAAATAATTTTAAAATTTGGCCGGAAACGGGATAGGCATAAATTAAGGAAGTCTGCCTTTCCCGGACTGCATGACAGCTAAAGCAACGAAAGTATAAAGCTGCAATTCGTGAAAATAACCTGAAAATTAAGCAACCCTGACGTTGGAACTGAAATCCCCCCTACTGCAGGCAGGAGCAGGGGGGGAAGAAAAGTGGATTTTGGACAACCTGCATGAAAGCTGTAAGGGGAAAAGTTTATCCGCTGTCTTAACTCCTTGGAACGGACTGCCTGAGCAAGGTACCTAGACTGAGAACTGTCACTGAGATTTGTTACAATGCCAAGATTTTATTGAAAGACATTTAACTATTGATAGCTCTGTTATTGACACTTAAGGAAACATATTTGAGGATTGCTGTTATTGACTTTACTCGAGACTCTTGGAAAGGATATTTTGTTTCCTTTGTTTTTTGGATTACTCCCTCTAGAGGACTGTGGGGAAACAGTTGCAAAGTGGATTACAATAACTAAGTCAGTGGAACTTTCCATTTAAAAGTAACTTCTGTGGGAACGACCTTGGCTGGGACATGAGTGGCTCAGCAGAGGAGATAATTACAAGAGCTAAGAGCAAAATCGCACAAAAGAGAAGGGGTTCACTTTCAAGTACAGTTCCAGCAGGAGTAGCTGCAGCTGGGCAGATAAAAGTAACAACTATGTTTACAGATCCTGTGACACAAGCACTAGTTAAAATAAATGAATCTTTGGAAGCCCTGACAAAGCAGAGTGCAGAAAACACTAAACAGTTGACAGAACTTTCAGTAAAACTCGATTTGAATACAAAAAGTATCACATCTAATACAGAAACTATAAATAGATTGGTTGAGGAAAATTCTACAATTCGAAAGATTGCCGAAGAAGCTAAAGTTATTGCAGAAGCCACCCAGGAAAAATTAATACCAGTCTGTAAAAAGTTGGATGAACATGAGCTGGCTTTGTCCATGCTTGAATTGCAAAGAAAGGAGAGAAATTTGAGACTGAGATCAGTGCCTGAAAGTGAAAAGGATAACCTGGTGGATTTTCTTACAAAAGAGTTTTTGAACTTTTGGCAGCTGAACTCAGAGAAGGAAGAATTCAAGATAGTGGCTGCTTTTAGATTGGGCAAAAGACAAAATAGAAAGAAACCAAGGGATTGCCTG